GACCTCGTGGCAGCAGAAATCACAACATCTACAATCGATCAGCCCCTCTTGGTCAAACAAATCAACAGCCACCAGAAGCAACAAGATCATCACAAAGACTGAGAAGAGCAAGAGAATCCCACTTCACACTGCAATCTACGGATACAGTAAAAGGAAGAGATCAATGGGATGCATCAGCAGATGATTTAGGCAATCCACACCAAAAGACACTTCCACCAGTTCCAAAGAATTACAGTGAAGCGATCAAACACCAATACAGTCACAAATGGATTGCTGCAATGAATATTGAGAACAGATCACTATGGCAAATGGGCACGTTTGAAATGATTGATCTTGGCAATATTGATCAAGACACTCAGCGAATTATCCCATTGAAGTGGGTATTCACATATAAGGGCAGCAAAGGATATCTCAAGAAGTTCAAAGCGAGGATCTGTGTTCGAGGAGATCTCCAACCGACAAATGAACTAGAGACCTATGCCTCAACGCTTGCTGGTATATCGCTGCGAAGTCTCATGGCAATTGTGGCGAGATTTGACTTAGAGACTCTTCAATTGGACGCAGTCAACGCATTTACACATGCCACAATTGATGAGGAAGTCTATGTTTGGTTTCCTCCAGGATTCAGACAAGAGGGATACTGTCTTGCCCTGCGAAAAGCACTATATGGATTGAGACGAAGCCCACTGCTATGGCAAAAGAATCTGGAGAGATCATTCAAGAAGCTTGGCCTTATCCCACTCCAAGAAGATGACTGTATCTACACCAATCAATACTTCAAAGTATTCCACTTTGTGGACGATATTGGGGTTATATACCATAAAAAGCATGAAACCAAAGTAAAAGAAGCAGTTCAACAACTCAAAAAGGAGTATGAAATGAAAGATATGGGAGAATTGAGTATCTTCCTAGGAGTCAGAATAATAAGAGAACGAAAAACCCGTCAACTATGGATGAGTCTCGACAACTATATATCTAAGGTCACTGAAGAATTCAAGATCAGAACCTCAACCAAGCGACGCCAAACACCTATGGCAATAGATAACCTGGTCCCAAGTCCTGGTCAGGCTACGCCAGAGGAAATCAACTACTATCAACGGAAGGTTGGATCAATCAACTATGCTGGAGTGATTGGCAGACCAGATATAGCTCGAACAAGCTCGAGACTAGCAGAATTCCTATCAAATCCATCTTCTGAACACCAGAAAGCAGCATATGAATGCTTACAATATCTTGAGGACAACAAATACCTCGCTATCGAGTTCAACTGCAAAGGGAAAGGAGTCCTCTACTGCGCCTCAGACGCTTCATTCGCTGATGACTCTGTCACTCGAAAAAGCACTCAAGGATATGTGATGATGCTATTCGGAGGTCCAATTCATTGGAAAGCAGTCAAACAACGAAGAGTAGTCACTTCAAGCACAGAAGCTGAGCTTGCTGCTTTGACAGCAGCCACAAGAGAATATATGGCAACCATTCGACTCATGGAACAATTGAATCTCCAATTAGATGATAAATACATCATGCAATGCGACAATAAGCAAACTCTTCGACTATTGATTGCTGAAAGACCCCAAGCGACTAGCAAATTACGCCATATCAATATCAACAACTTATGGCTTCGCCAGGAATTACAGAAGGGATCAATTGACTTTCAATGGGTTCCAACCAACGAAATGGTGGCAGACGGTATGACTAAAGCAATGCCAGCCCAAAAACACAACCACTTTATCGCCCAATTGGGTATGGCGAATATTGAACATTTGATCGAGAAGAACGCAGTATGAATCTGGAATTTGGTAGTAAGTATACGGAGTTCTGAATAGTATCATTTCTGTATTTGAATGAGAATACAGAGAATCAACCTACAACAGGTTGCCTCTCTGAGGGGGTGTGTCACACGGACCACTGCATATATCGGGGCATGCATTCAACCCATGCACCCGGCTATTGTTTCCCATATAAAACTAACGGGGATGTCATTTTGTGCATGAAAACCTTCAAATCGGTAATTACCGAATAGACGGTTATATAATCAACCCAATAACCCCTAGACAGTCTCTAAGGAATGGAAGCATCTTTTTTTACCCCATAAGTGGTGGGCAAATTGACTGCGTGACAACACTCCTGTGCGGCCCCGTAAAACTCTGTACATGCACGTATACGAAACATAGAATTCGCTTAAATTTGTGATAATTACATAGTAAAGATAAGAAGCTTAACTATCTATACGGGTGGTGTATGCTTATCTCGTTTATGCATCCTAATTAGGCAATGTTTGAATTTTGACCCAGTGCGCCCTGCGGACTGCCGTAATACTTGTCAAATGGCCCTGAGCGGTAGATCACAATCGATATGTGCCCTATTTATGCTTCTTCCTGCATTGCAAACCCTAGTTTGCTGCAACTTTCGCTTGGTCTTCGGCCAAAACATGAAAACTTCTTTACTCGCAACTGCTATCCTTTATTTAGTACGTAGCATCTGCGGAAGCGACTAATAAAAGTTTACCAAAAACAACGCAGTGTGTAATTCAAGGTTTATCGCTTTCACTTGCTCATTCAATGCCATAAGTAAACCTGCTTCTTCAACAGGATCCCAACATGCCTTTCTCTCTTACAGTAGTTTTACACACCAAGGGCAGTGCCTGTCATGCCCATGACGGCCATTGGAAACACCAGATAAAGATCCCTCAACAACAGGGTGTTATCGCAAATAAGAGCATCAAGCTTGGGGTGAGTTTTGACTGTTTAATAAATTCCTTGGTGTGCATTTGAGCAGTTGTTTTCTGTTGCAAGCGTTGGATTCACCCGTTGTCTACTCGAGGGGATAACAGGCGGTCCATATTGCCGTAAGATGCAACAGCGGAACGAACGCTCAAAGATGAATTCAAACACGCTTGGCAACAAAGAGCAGAGGTAAACGTTCTGTGCAAAATCTCTCATCCTTGCAACAACGCGTGGATAAAATATACTTCGACGGCTTTTTCTATGGACTGTTATTGGTTCTTTACTCCATTCATCGGTAGGAAAGTGGTGGCATTCAAATTTCCTCCCTTTTTGTTTCTAGACAAGTTCCTGAAAGAAAAATCTAGAAAGAAGTGCTGTCGAGCAATATATATCAGCTCGTCGCATTTGCTTCAACTGGCAAGCACCATTTTCTTTTTTTTTTACAATCATGAATAAGTTGTAGGGAACAATAAGGCAGGGGTAAGGAACATAAATGTGCAGAAAGATGTTAATACCTCGAAAATGTGGTTAGAACACGTGGGAAATGAAAAATACATCAAAATGAAATTGTTTGGCTGGCTGAATAAACTAAAAAACTGAGGTGGTTTGGACGGATGTACAGTTATAACCTGACAGCAATTGGGGAGTTCAAAGCTTTTCGTGGCTGAGCGCCTGTAATGACACAATGAACGCTGTGGTCCCAGTGGCAGTACAGTACCAGTCAGTGTTGGACCGAAAATCACAGCTCGGATTCTTTTAGCAGTGACGGATTCAATTTTTTAGTCAGGGCAATGCCAAATCATTGCAAAACGATTAAAATGCTTATAAAATCATCAAATGTCGCAGCAGACCAGCATAACAGCGACCGGTGGTTAAGAGGCGCTAGGCTTGAGTTGTAGAATGCAGCAGTGAATGCTGTGGCGCCCAAGGTACCTACACAGTTCGCTGTAACAAAATCTCGTCGCCGCGTTTAGCGCTTAACTGAAATTGTTCCGCCGGGAGCCAAGTAAGCCAAGCACGCTTAGCTAGAGCCGCAACCTCTTGGCGTAATACATTTACGGGATACCCACATCTTCACTGACTACTTGTCTTGGTTTGTCTTTGACGAGTAGCTATTCTTGTTGTTTAGAAGCTGCTACCGTGAATTGTGTTAATACTATGACGTCTCATATTGGCAAACGTCGTTGTCGACCGTGTAGGTTTTGAGCTCTTGTGTCTGTGGAGGTTGGAAGGACATGTTCGATGTTGGTTTGCTGGGCGAGAAGGCCAGGCACGTATTGTGCGACCAGCAAGGCAAGATCTTGCAGATTGGTGGCAATAAAGAGAGCATTTAAACCCGGATGTCCGTATTGCGGAAACTGACGAGGAATATTGTATTTCCAGAATTTGCAACCCTCCTTTTGCGGAAATGTTGGCCGACACATTTTAGAATTCATGCGAAACCAATGTACGGCCCGAAATGTCGTGAGTGTACAATCGGGCTCCATATCCAGGCGCAAATCCTGAAATGTGCACTGTCCACATACGTAGAGCAGCCCCAGTCGGAAGAGTCTATTGCCGCCGAATTTTCTCAACCTGGTGAGCTCGTCACCGCACTGACGACTGCGGCTCCTTCGGACATGGCGGGTCAACACTTATCATCTCCCTGCTGCTGGCCGTAATCGGCACATTGGAGCACAGACCAGCTGTCGGTAGATGCCCGAAGTATGGAAATCCTTCAGCTAATGGGAATCTGTCAATCTCTAAACGTCAATGCCTTGGATGAAGCACAGAGGGCCTACACCTGAGATATATACTGACTCTCATTCGCCGCCCCGGGTTGACATTTTTCTTATCTCCATGGGGAAAACCATGAAGCGGATGCTCCACGGGGAAAAACGCATCCCCGGCCAGGGCATTTGCCCCTTTGCATTCTTTTGTGGAACCCCGTGTTCTTTCGAAGGAAAGCGGTGATGACAGTGACGAATGTGACGAGTAGGCCTTCCATTCGCTCACATTTGGCTTTGTGAACTCACGTTGGAGTTATCAATTATGCTTGCCAAAGTATCTACCTATCCAAGTTCCTCGCCGTTTATTCCGCAGACCCCGAAATCGAGGCTCCAACGTATGGGGCTTTGAAGTATCGGCTTATGGGGATGCTCCACTAGAAGGAGGTACTTAGTGTTGACCGATTCTGCCTCACTTTTCGACATTGACTCTCTACCCTTTCTTCTCTTCCAACCTTTACTCCATTAGTTTTCCATCAACTCATTAGATCTGGGGCGTCTAGTGACCATGGGCATCCTCACAATTGTCGAAGAGCGACCGACGCCGCCGTCGGTGTACAACTGGCGCATCTATGTGCTTGCTGTCATTGCGTCTTGTGGATCTTGCATGATCGGATACACAAGTGCTTTCATTGGAACGACTGTAGCACTTGGCTCCTTTAAGAGCGAATTCGGACTCGACAAGTTGACAACTGCAGAGAGAAACTTGATCAGCGAAAATATCGTATCTCTCTTTGTCGCCGGTGCTTTCTTCGGTGCCCTCCTCACCTACTGCCTTAGTTACTTCATTGGGCGAAAGTGGTGTTTAGCAATCGGAGCCACCACGTTTTCACTAGGAGCCGGCTTAACATGTGGCGCAAACGGCTCACTTGGATTGGGCATCCTTTATGCGGGCCGAGTATTTTCGGGGTTGGGAACTGGAGTTGCATCGGTATGTCAGCCTCCACGAAAATCATATCTTTTCGAACTGTGTCCTAGGACAATAGCGGAAGATCTCATCTTTGGTTGATCACCCTTGCTAACCCAGAGAGTACAGAACATCATTCCTATCTACATCTCGGAACTTTCACCACCAGCTATTCGTGGTCGTCTCGTCGGTCTTTATGAACTTGGTTGGCAAATTGGCGGCTTGGTGGGCTTTTGGATCAACGTGAGTGCTGAAGCAGGCTCAATAATATCTCTACGCTGTGCTTTGAAATCTAACAACATGCGAAACAGTACGGAGTTGAATCACACATCGCCCCTGGTCGCACGCAATGGATCATCCCCTTTGCCGTTCAACTGATCCCGTCTGGCCTGCTACTGATCGGCTCTTTCTGGATTCGGGAATCGCCCCGATGGCTCTTCCTCAAAGATTACCGTAAGGAAGCTATGGATAATCTTTGCTGGATCCGTCAGCTGGAGCCCACTCATATCTACTTACAAGAGGAGATTGCGGCCATCGACAAGATTTACGAGATGCAAAAGTCCACGGTAGGACTCGGCTTCTGGCAGCCTTTCCAGGCGCTTGCCGCACGTCCTAACTTGCAGTGGCGTTTGTTCTTGGGCTGCATGTTGTTCTTCTGGCAGAACGGTTCTGGTATTAACGCCATCAACTATTACTCGCCCACAATTTTCTCTGTGAGTTGGACTCATTTCCCCCTTATCATCTTCAATCACTAGGGCGAGAAATACTAATCACTGTATGTATAGAGTATCGGCATCGACTCCAATACCGTTAACCTAATGACGGGTATCTTCGGTGTCATCAAAGCTGTCATGACCTTTGTGTGGCTGCTATTTCTTGTCGACCAACTGGGTCGGCGAAAGCTCTTGTTGATTGGTGCCATTACTGGTTCCATCTGCATGTGGGTTATTGGTGCATACGTCTGTGTTGTCGAACCAACCAAGAACCCTCAAGACCACCTCACTGGCAGTGGTTACGCTGCCATCGTCTTCTTCTACTTGTGGACGGCCGTTTACACGCCTACCTGGAACGGCACTCCTTGGGTCATCAACTCTGTATGTCACCCCTCTAGTCCACCTGATCTTTTTTTTATCTAAAAGGGAAACAAACGTCCGCTAATACTATTCTGTACAGGAATTCTTCGATCCCAACTTCCGCTCCTTGGCCGGTGGTGCAACAACCGCGAGCAACTGGCTCTTCAACTTCCTGGTCTCGCGATTCACGGAGCAAATGTTCGCTGCAATGGGCTACGGCGTATATTTCTTCTTCGCGTCTCTATCATTCCTGGCGTTCTTTTTCGCGTTCTTCCTTATTCCCGAAACGAGTGGAGTTCCGCTGGAGAAGATTGACAGACTCTTCGAGATCAAGCCTGTGTGGCAGGCGAACAAGACGTTGATGGCGCAGCTTAGAGAAGAGGAAGTGCAGTTTCGTACTGACGTTAAAAGCGAGACGACTCATAAGGAAAATACTAGCGGGAATAAGTCGGAGTCGGATTCATCATAACGTCTGTAGCACATGTATAAATAGCATAACTGAGAGTTTCAACGGGAATTAGATATAATTAACTCAATCTTTAACTTAAAAATGCTCACCTTGTTTTGGGTTTACATAGGCATGGGCATTACCCGGCCCGCGGGTCCCACGGGTACCCGCGAAATGGGTCGGGTAGTTATAGGTAGTGCCCGAAAGTTTTACTATTACCCACGGGTACCCATGGGTAAAGTGGGTTTGGGTAAAAAAGCCCACGGGTAGTAAACTGAAGGGGGGCCCACGGGTTTGGGTACCCACGGGTGTATACCCGTGGGTAGATTTCAGTAAGTATGCATCACGAATTTTAGACATCTTTTGTAGTAGCCAGCCTCAAGAGTGGATATATTGCGCAACGAATAGACCTGCTACCTTGTTACTCCTAACTTCCGAACGCCCTGAATGCCTTCAATTAATCGCCTGCATTTCCCAGACTCGGGGTCGAACCACTTGTCTCCGTGGACTCTGCCGGCCTTCAAGATAGCCTGGACGAGATGCAGATCCTTCGGCTTAATGGTGACGCGATTGGTGTGGATCGCAGCAAAGTTAATCACTAGATAGTTCGTTCAACTCGATAAGAGTTTGCAAGTGAAGCTTACTGTCGAAAACACCAAAGAGAAGAGACTCCGAAGACTCTTGAAGAGCGCTAATAGCAGTCGCCTGCCAGCGCAGGCGCTTGGAGGGGTCGATGTCATCGCAGATTTCCTTCCAGAGTCGCTGGAATAGGGGCTTCGGAATCAGGAAGTCAAATGTCTTCTGGTAGTTCCTGACCTCCCGGAGAGCTTTTGCTAGGTATTAGGGTTAGTGTGTAGCCATCTTTTGTAGCAATCTAGACTTACTGCCAGGGCGCTAACGGCGTTTCTGCTGCTCCTTAGTACTAGGCATAGTCTTTCGGGCTATGCCAGGCATTATATTATAAAGTTAACTATGAATCAGGTAGGACTCCTAGAAATACAAGTCTAGGTCTAATCAATATAGAATCTTTTACAGATAACTACTAAACAGAGGTTTTCAAAGAGATTCTTTTTGAGAAAAAAAACAAGAAGCCGCGGCTACGCACAGACCACTTTTTGGCGTATTTTGTTTTTTTTTTGTGAGGTTCTGAAGCTTTAGAAAACTTCTCCCCAGACAATACTACAACCTACCTCTACCACTAACACCCAGCCGCACCGACAAGCCTCTTAATTAAGGTAATTTGATACTTTGATCTCACAATTATTGGTTTTGACTTATTAAATCAATTAGGGAACAGTAGTAAAATATGTCCTCAGGACAGGATTGCGGTACGTTCATACCAGCTTTGTAGCAATCATTTGTACTAATCTCTTCTAGGCCGACCGCTTGGATCTGGTGCTGGAGCCAAGCGTAAAGCTGAAGAGGATTATTCCGACAACGCGCACACCAAGAAGTCTCGTCAGCGCATCGATAAGATGACTGAGAAGCAGAAGGCACTTGATCGCTTGAAGAAGTCGATCAACTAGTAGAAATCCCGCAAGCTTAAAGCCTTGAGGGCTAAAAGCTCCTACATCAGTGCGTCTGCTGATGAGCGCGCGGCCCTTGAGGCTAGGGAAATCCAGCAAGTTGATGCACGATAGTGAGTTCTTTTTTATTTCTTTTGGTGTTTCAAATCAGTGCTCAAGTGCTTTTAGCTTCCTCAAAGGCAACCATCCAGACCAGCTGCTAGCTTAGATGACTGGCCCAGTCTCGTCTAGCTCCTATAATATCGTCGATGACGATGAAGACGAGGCTTGGGAGGATATCCCTTTGAATGAGATTGATGAGGCTACCTAGGAAAACCTGGATGGAGTTGAGGGCATGCTTAACTTTGACGTTGACCTTGATAACCAGTTGCCGACCATTAATGTTGCTGAGCAGTCGAATGCGATTATCGACAAGATGATCTAGGTAACTGGATGACTATAATTAATTACTATAGCAATAGCTAACAAACAGACAGGAAAACTAGATCCGAGAATACTAGTTCTTCCGTGATACCTGGGAGATGACTCTTGAGATACTTTACATCAAGGTCAAGCGGCTGAATAGCAATCCTGCCTTTACCCTAGCTGCGATGGAGGATTATGGCTTTATTCGACCTGGCTTTAAATTTCTAGTAGCTGGCGATATCTTTACTAAAGAGGAAGTGCTTCTTTGGTTTGCACTCGCTAAGTACTGGCACCTGAACCGCTTGTCTAAGAAGAAGAAGATACGCCTGGTTCTTAATTCTTCTGTCAAGAAGAAGAAGACGTAAGTGCTTAATTGTAGCAATCCTTTGTAGTAATACTAATATTCTTAGCTAATTCGCACTCGCGCACCGCCTAGCCATCAAGATTCAAGGATCTCTCTTCACTACAGCTCAGCGCCGATATGCCTCTACTCTAAAGCCTTTAGTGAAGGCTATGTTCTCTGAGATCAGTGACTCGATGATCAAGAAAGGTGTTTAGGAGCTTCTAGGCCCTGCTGAAGTTTGGGAAGAGTTTACTGCTCTCGATAAAACAGCTAACATCTTATCTGCGATGGATAAGAAGTTCTCAGCTATACTAAAGCTGATACTATTCTTCCTGAAGCTTGACCTTGCTCGGGATAAAGCGCTATACAACTGGCGTCAGGTCTATGAGTTGGCTTAGAAGCTAACTCGTTTGCTTGACTTTTCTCTATAATTGCAGATGAGCATAGCGAGAGGGTTTGTTTGACAGATTAAGAATTAAGAATTAGCAATAAGGCTAGCATGAATAAGGACATGAATTCTCTCTAGTCTGATTCTCGTATTGTAGCAATCGTTTGTAGTAATCTACAGCTGCTAAAACAATCTAGCACTCCATGCTCCCATCTTCTTCATTAACTGTTTAACTAAGTCAAGATCTTTCTTCTGCAAAGTTACTCTTTTAGCGTGAATAGCACAGAGATTTGCATCTATTAATATTCATGTTAATATAATAGTTTGAAGATCAGGATAGGATATCTTACTCTCGAACATGTTGATTAGAAACTGTTCGCTTATCTCATGGAGAGCCTCTATAGCTATTGACTGGTAGCGGATCTTATGGCGGTTTCTTAGTGGAAGATCAAGTGTTATTTCTCGAACTACTCTTGCGAAACTGCTCCGCGGAATTAAAAGATTGGTGGTCTTTTGATATTTTCGAATCTTACGAAGTGCATTTGCTTCACATTTCAGTAATTAAATAATAAAGAGTTACTTCTTACTTACTACTAGGCCTCTATCTACGAACTTTCTGGCGTTTAGTGATCTGGACGGGCTTTTTTCGAGCAGCTTTTAGCTGCTTCTTTGGCGCGAAGTTTAGCTGATCTTTCCGTGCAATGGTTGGTGGTTGGCTAGTATCTGTTCGTCTCGCTAACTTCGTCGCAAAGTTCCGCTTCAGCGGTGGTAATTCTGGTTGACTCAGGTCTGGGCTAGCCTGGCTATAGTAGGTTGCATGACTTGAACTTCTTGGCGGAGTCTCCCGAATCTCTGTAATTGGCTGTTTTAGGGGATTACCCCTCGCTGATGATGAGGGGTAACTATTTGGCGGTGAAGAGCCCTCTACTGTTAGCGGAGAGCTCTGATCTGACACAGGGCTAGTTGATAAGCGAGGCATTGAAGGATGAATGTAAGTGGGAGAAAAAACAAGTCGAAGGAGAATTCAGAGCTTTTAGATTTGTGTACGAAACGTATTAGTTAGAAACCCTAAAATAGAAATTTACGTAAGGCTATATAATCAAATGTTTGTATTCATCTTGTAGTAATCCTGCAAACTACTTCCTGTTTATACTAAAGGTAATTCTTACTACGTATGATGTCGAACTCAATTGCGTCTGACCCTTTTGGGCCAGACCCTTTTGGGCCAGACCCTTTTGCATCCGATTGTTCTGCTGCTTTCGAGCTTGTAAATTCTACGCAGACTCTAACAATCAATACTCCACCTTCTGGTTTATAGATACAGTCGGAAATCATTTTATTTGTTATTAAGACTTTCTAGACTTTTCTCTCGTTTTTCAAAACCCTGCCATGGTATCTCCAATAGGTAATCCTTGGCAAACATATACCGTTGTCTAAATCCCCTCAACCTGAACGAAAACGCTTCGCCAAATCCTTGTGGACTTTACAACGCCGAGTATCATTCTGGGATCACTTTCACCAAGGCTACCATATGACATCAGGGGAGCTAAAATTAGTCTGCAAGCACTGTCACCAAGTTTTCAATCATCTAACAATCAAAAACTCTGGTATAAGTGCTATGCAACGACACCTCGCTGCAAAGTCTTGTAAGACTCGACGTTTAGGCGTAAACCAGGTGCCTGTAAGTTTTACAGGTCATTGTAGCAATCATTTGTAGTAATCGCAATCTAGGGTACCTAATTGAAAGCAGTCTCGGAGCATCAAGCATTAGTTTACTGTATTGTTGGATCTAACTTAGCGCTTAATACTGTTGACAACTTAAGTTTCTGGCAATTCTGTTTATACCTGAATCCTCTCTACTACCTCCCATCTCGAAAGACGCTCCGAAGCTGGATATCCGAGGAGGCCTTACGCATTCAACACCACACTCTTTAGCTAATTCCGCCTGGTAGCTATGTCTCTCTGATGATTGATATCTGGAGTACACCTGGGTTAAAATATTCACTGCTTGGTGTTTTATGCCATTTTATCGACAAGCACTGGAGGTTATAACAGGTTCTTCTTGGTGCTATTGATATGACAGATGGTCATACAGCCTCTAAGCAAGCAACGGCTTTATCGACTCTGTTAGAAAATATTCGCCAGAGGACGAAGAAGACAATTCGATTTCAGACAGTCTCTGCAGACAACGCAAGTTCTTTTAAGCCAAAAGTCCTAGCACAAGAACTTGCAAAAGGGTCGATATCTATAGTATAGCCGATATATCATATTCGCTGTTTAGCCTATATTTTCAACCTTGTTGTTCGAGCGATTTTTGAGGCTCTTCGAATTTCGATGGTAGAAGCCTCTACAGAGTTTGAGCCTTCTACTACTCGAGCTAAAGATCAAGAGGACTCTGACGATGATTTTGATACTGAAGATTCTACTGCTGGGGAAAATCCTTTTGGAGCTGTTATTCAAAAGGTTAGATACTTCACCTAGTTATAAGATTTTATATTAACATATATACCTCCAGATTCGTGACCTCGCAGTTTCCCTTAAGCTTTCTAGTAAGAAGACGCAAGAGTTTCTCGACCTCCAGAAATCGACTCGCATTGGCCAGCGACCACTACGCCTCCTCCGCGATGTTAAGACAAGGTGGAACTCTACTACACTTATGTGTCTCCGCGCAAGAGAGCTTAAAACAACGATTTCAGCTTGGGTTGAAAAGCACTCTCTACAGGAACAATTCTCTCTTGTGGAGACCGATTGGGAGGCTCTTGATATTCTGCTTGATATCACCAGCCCGTTTTTACTCTTTACAAACATCCTCAGCCGGTTAAATGACCTTACCCCTGGTCATACCTTTACTTTATTACAAGTTGCAACAGTTCACTTGTACTTTTGCGCCTCTGCACTTAAAGATAAAGTTACTAGCAAAGACTTTACTTGGATATCAATCCTTCAGGCTGCTACGAAAAAGGGCCAAGAGAAGCTGGAAAAATACGTTCAAAAGCTAATTGAAGAGGATTCCTTCAAGGTATATGGTATTGCAACTCTCCTTACCCCTGAAGCTGGGACATCAGTTTCGAGTACTTTTGACACGCGATTCCAATTCGCAAATTACTTCGAATACCTTCCTTCTTCAGCCTCACTTCGAACTCGAGTACAGCAAGAATTTATCGAGGTATATACAAAGCAGTACCATCAAGATTCGGAACGCCATACCAATACTCAAAAAGCTGCAACTGAAGGACTCCGATACACTCTGCATAGTTTACTATCACGCAGTCCAAAGAAAAGGGTATTTGTAGCAATCTATTGTAGCAACTCACTGTACTAACCTATTATAAGGGCAAAATGTCATCATCCCAAGACGCACGAAATATCTGTAATGACTTTTTTAATATTGGTAAGATAAAGACTTATATCTTACTAGGCTTAACAGCTAATAACTATATTTAGTTATGTTCCCTGATGAAACTGTTTAGCAATTTTGGGTCCGCCTAGACAATAGCTATCCCAGATTCCATGGTATTTGTCGCATGGCTCGAGACTTCTTATCTATTCAACCGACGTCAATACCCTTAGAGCGATCATTCAGCCTTGCTCGCCATATCTGTCACTACGCTCGGTTTAACCTTTCGGCTGATACTATTTTTGATACTTTGACTATCAAAATTAGCCAGAATAATGAGGCCTGGCTTTCCCAAACCACACTTGAGGAAGTTCTAGATGATACGAATATTACTGAAGCATCTGAAGAGCGCTAGCATATTATTAGAGAAGCTTTTAACTACTCTTCTCTATTGGATAAAGCTGATATTCAGAGATATCTGAAGGTCTCTGATGATCTTACTAAGATCTCTATTACTGCTATAGGAGATGCTCCCTCCCCGCCTCCTTACGAAGTCTCAGTAGAAGAGGAGGATATTAGCGATAGAGATGAGGAGCTGCCATCCTTATCTAGCTCTCAACAGCCAAAACTATCGAGTCAAGTTTCCCAACTTAGCAACTCACCTACGCCTTCTGTATCCCAAGAACTCCCAAACTTCTCCGAGCTTGGGGGTCGCAAAAGGAAGAGACTTACTCGGCTAGATCTTGTCGAACTCTCTCCTGACGAGGATAGCGATTAAATATACATTGTTCCTCTGATTTCACTCCGACTTTATCGTATTATTCTCTATTAGTTTCTTATATTTGTAGTAATCTATTCTAGCCATCTATGTTTTATGTAACTTACTCTTTCTCCCTATAACTAACTAGTTATATTTTCTTTCTATCTTAGTTACAGTATTTCCCGCGTTTCTTGTGGGTAGCAAAATTACCCGTGGGTAGTGTAACCCATGGGTCGTTTTACCCACGGGCCTTTCAACCCGCGGGTAAATATAGTGGGACTGCCCGTGGGTAATTCGGGTTTACCCAAACTACCCACGGGTAGTTTTGGGTACTACCCATACGGGTACCCGCGGGTATTACCCAACCCTAGGTTTACAGCTGCTGAAGGTTCAGGCGTGCATGCGGTGCACGGGCTATGTGACCGCCGTAGGCCCCCGCTCCAACTCAACACAGCTACAGACGTTGGGGGCTCTAAAGAAAGCCCCGACGCAGGCATGCATCAACCTCGCACACCCCCCAATGCACTAAAATCTAGTCAAATCCCCAAGCATAGGGGTAAGCAGCTATCATTTTACAGCGCTCTCATCGCAAACCTGAACGTTGGTGTGTCGCACACATGCACTAAACATACAAGGAGTAGTTGGCTAACTCCATTGATCTTCAATTCATCGTGCCACTATGAGGTTGGTTAATGCAATGAGTTTTAGACCGCTAAAATGTCGAATTTTGAGTGTGGATGTGATTGCTAACAACGCCTAACTGAAATGTGCGATTATGCGATGGTTTCATGAAAATCGCCTCACGCCATCTTCATTTGTGGACCTTAAAGGTCGCCATCCCCTTGCTTTCCAACCTCAATGGTTTCGGTTTCCCAGTTTCCAATCAAGGAACCTTCGCCAGCACCAACGCCCTGCAGTTTCTCAGGATGCTGTAGCAAGTCCTCCGTCGTCAAACCAGGCCATACAGCCATCCACCTCCCTCTCATCGTCACTTTAGCCTTGCCTTGCTTCCAAATCCCGTCGGGCACTCTCGGCTCGCGCAGTTCGACAGTGTTTTCTGCACTTTCGCCCGGACGAAGAGTAATGAGTGACTCGGCGCCGGGCGGCATTATGCGACTTATTTTAATGGCGTCGTTATGGATAGGCTCCGAAGAGCCGGCCGGCAATATGGACACCTGACCGAGACCGAGGGCAGCGGGGTCCAGAGGGGAGTTCCATTTCAAGATCGTCACAGGTGTGTCTGAATGGGTGTTCTTGACAGAGACTGTGATGCTTGGAGATCTAGATGCAGATTGGGAAAGACTCAATTGGAGATTAGCGAGGAATAAGGATGGTTCGGCCATTGTCGGTAACTGCAGTGGCGAGTAGAAATAGAGCGCGACTGTGATGATTGCGCCCACAGTCAATGCTATTGGGAGGGAACCAGATCCTCGGATACGACGCTGGAAACTCATGAATGCTTTGTTATTTTCGGTCAGAAATAGGCCAGGAAAGGGCTACGTCGTCGACGACTGAAGACTGACTGGGTAAAGGGAAGACCGCAGGCTTATCTGCACAGTTACGACAAAAAGGAGAGACACGCGCCGTCGTTTAAAAAAGGAGAAGGGATCAATGTAACATGTTCGTCTCCTTTATGAAGTTGAAGTTTCCAAATTCGGCCGATTTAGGCAAGTGTTGATGTCAATGGACATCATACTGATTGCAGGATTATTCTGGACTGAGCACAAGCGGGGCAGAAAGACGTTTCGAATGAGGATGTTGTTACCGACATTAACCAGCCCTTAACTGGCCTGGTCTCGATCCCCATTTCATCAAAACGTCACATTGCCCAGCCTGCCAAGTCTACTAAGGCTTGACTTGGTTGGTGGCACTCGGTAGTGAAGATAAACAACAAACCACAAGTCAATTCGACCCACTACCCTATTTATCCAAAACTCTAAAATCCCAACGTTCCATTATGTAACTCATCCTAAGCGGAACACAGAGAAAGGGGCCAGCCATGATTTTCGTTTCATTCCTTCAACAACCCGGCCAGGGATAGCTTCGCCTATAGTAGGTAAGTGTCCGCAATAGGGAGTTCCATAAGCGACACAATCCTCCGGTTGGTGGATGGTTGGGGGCTACTGTCAATCCGAATTATTGATCCAATCGGACAATTATTGTTTTCGTGACCCAGCGTGACTATTGACATGACCAGGAATTGTCCGCAGCGAAAAATGTCTTACTGTCGTATATTTATCCCTGAACTTCTTCTCGTGACCCTATCTACGGCGAGCTTTACCTAAATTCTGCTTTTATGGTGCGGGATATGTTTCTGTAAGACTTTGGAACATGAAGTCTCGGGTTTCCGCTGTCGTTGAGTCTTTTTGTTTATTCAACAACTACCATTCGTTCTCTTCTCTTCCTTATCCTTACATATTTCATTCTCGGCCATCATGAAGGTCGCTACTGTCGTTACCTGCCTTGCCGCTCTCGCCAATGGCGCAGCTGTTGGCCTTACCAAGCGGGCTGAGCCCCTTGATATCAAAATTGAGCGGGTCGGCAACAGCGATCTGAAGGCCACCATCACCAACACTGGAAACACATCTCTCAAGGTTCTGAAGGCTGGCTCGATTCTTGATGGATCTCCTGTGGAGAAAGCACAAATTTCCAAGTCGCAGATGTCGACGAGCTCTATCAACGGCGTCGGTATGTCATCATGTTATTAAACTAGCACGATCAAAAAGTAGACCGACGAATTCAACAGCCAACAGCAACAACAAAGTTGACTTTACCGGTATCCGCGTCTATGTAGATGATAGAAACCTCCCCGACTCTGCCTTCCGAACCATTGCTCCTGGCGAGATCGTTGAGGTTCAGTGGGACACCGCTCAAGTGCACGACCTTAGCAGCGGTGGCGACTTCGAGTTCTCTAGCGCTGGATCGCTCCGATACGCCGAGGAGGGCAGCAACGAAATCACTGGTCAGGTCGTTTACGACTCTGGCGTGATTCATGCCAGCGTCGACGGAGCCCAGGCCGCTTCTGTTCACGCCGCCTTCCACCAGGCCATTACGGAGAAGCGCGTGACTCTCAAGAGCGACTGCAACTCATCCCAAAAGAAGATCGTCACAAGCGCCCTCTCTAAAGGCAAGAGCTACGCTACGGCTGCGCAGTCGGCGGCCAAGGCTGGAACCCGCCTGGAGCAATACTTCAGGTCGTCTTCGTCGAGCACCAAGAACACCGTTTCCAGTGTCTTTGGAAAGGTCGCAAACGTCCTCGGCAGCACGACGAGCGGCGCCAACTTGTACTGCAGTGATGTAGGCAACTTCTGCAGCGGCGGTGTTGCCGCCTATTGCCAGCCCGGCACCAATGGATACATCGTCGTCTGCGACGGCTGGTTCACGTTCCCTAGCAGCAGCAGCGGCTGCCGTTCGACAGACCAGGCTCAGGTTCTGATCCACGAAGCTACTCACTTGAGCGAGGTCGCTGGAACTGACGATGTTTGCTACGGCTATGAAGGCTGTGTGAACAAGATCAGCACTGCGCAGTCGCTGAACAATGCTGATTCCTTCGCTATTTATGCCAACGGAATCAAGTCCAACTGCTAAGAGAAGCAAGCCACCGGAATTCTGGTCTTCTAATTTCATTCCTGTATCTATATTTATTACATAAACCTTCTTTCACTGAAGAAGATCCAAGGACTTTGTTCATATGGATGAATATATATATACGCACTGTCATTGTCTAAGTGCCACTCAAAATCGCTTGTAGATATTACGAATGGTTCCATCTGCTTGATCAACCGGTGGTACTTGGGTCATTGATGTTTATGTTCCGAGGAGACAGTCACAAACTTGCCAAGTTATGCTACTTAATCCCACAGAATAGCTCTTGCGTATCCAAGTAATCCTATATTTGACCAAGTGTATTATCTCTCTTATCATATTACCCACCAGCAACTTCGGGAAGCATTTGTGTTTTGACTACCTCTTTTGACAGCCCATTATTAGTAAGTTCCTTTAGTCCTTGGTGGTACCGTCAACCGCGTTGATTAAGGTTCAAGCTCAACTGTATAACCCCTAGATTGTATGTCCTAGATTGTATAGATTCGGTCTCTGGTCACTCTTTTAAAACACTACCGCCAAGGTATGTTCTGAAAGATAACAATTTATTCCTTTCACAAAAATCAAACAGCGGAGGAATTTTGTGGTTCACATTCAGCACTGGGGAATTTGGAAAAGGCACAACATTAAATTGATGATTGAACCTCGTTTTTTGATTCTCATTACTAATTAACTCCGTTAGCCGCTATCAGGTATCCGTAAAAGACTAAAGAATCACTGTAGTAGCGGTCTCTGATGTTTCTTCTCATTAAACTTAAAACGTTACTTCTGCGTTCAGAGTGGCGGCGCATTCGGATCCTCCATGCACTGATCAATTCGCATGATCTGTTTGCCAGTCGCCTTGGCCTGCCTGATGAACTCTGGGAAGTAGTTGACCGTCGAGTTGTACGAAAAGTGCATGACGACCAGGTTACCCCCCTTTGCAACATCAGAGTTGAAGGCGTCAAGCTGTTTCTCCGGCGTGCTTGTCTCAGCCCACAACCAGTCCTGAACATCAACGCTCCAGTTGATGAGGTAAGGATTCGTCGACCCCGAGGCGGCCGCCCAGCGCTGACGCATACGCGCGCCTTCAACACCATAAGGTGGGCGGAAATAGTTAGATTTCTCGCCAAATATTTTGGTCATAACTCTATAATCCTCGTTGTACTCCCAGTCGATACTCTCTGTGTTTGGAAGCCCCTCCATCCTTGGATGTGTGTAGGAATGCAGCGCAATCTGGTGGCCTTCGCTCTTCAACTGCTGATAGAGACTGGCCATACCTGTGGATGTGTCTTCCAGCACGGCGCCGACGGCGAAAAAGGTAACCTTGATGCCCGCGTCGCGTACGATTTGTGCCAATCTTGCGGCGTATCTCGGATTGCCATCGTCGATGCCGAACGCAAACGAGTTTGGTCGTGTGCAGGCAAAGACAAGGGTGCCTGAAGGAAGCTTTGTGGGGATTTTTACGTCTGAGGGGATGGAGGGGACAACCTCAATCTTGGTGAAGACGACGGGTTCTGTGCTATATACTCCCCTAATGGCGACGCTGCTCACACGCTGTAGGTTGATGTTGAAGTGCGAAATGGGGATGTAGATACTGTTCCCCTTGGCGTAACGGGCGGCTTCGAGACTATCCCTTGTTTCGGGATATGGCGCCACACCGTCGTTGCATTGCGAATTATGCTGCTGCAATGAGACGGAGAATTTAGTGTGACCTGAGAAAGCGATGTGTAAGTACGAGCCGCTGTGGCTGCGCAAGTCTCGACAGCCGCCGCTGATCAAGGTGGTGAAGGCGTAATCGGGACCTGGAGCAGCGACAGTGAGACGGTTGGAGCCCCAGCTAAGGTTCATCTCTTCGCCGCCATGCCAGAACCCAAGAGAGTTTGTGCTCGGGTTGTTAAAAGTGTCAATAACGAATCCCGAGACCGTAGCAGGCGGTGCCGCAACGGTTTCCGTTGGTGTTGCTGGGCCTGGACTCGTGGGCACTGGCCAGCCAGTTGGAGTACCCCCGCAGTAGAGTGATAATGGGCCCAGGGTGATGGCTTGGCTTGGCGAGGACAGCACGATCGACCTCAGCTTTGTTAGGTTGATGCCACTAAACTTTGACCAGGGGAAGCTGTATAGTTTCTCAGTTCCGTCAAATGTCCACCCCAGTTGAGCCGTTGTTTGGGACGATGATGCTGTCGCCGCGCCGTCGCATGTCGTCTTGGAAGACAGCTCAATTTTGAATGTGGTTCCCGCCGCAGCCTTGATCCAGAGCGATATACCGCCATACTTTGTCGCATCTACACATCCGACCTGACTGTAGAAGTAAGCCGAAGTGGATTTTGGCGTCAAAGTCACATGGTAATTGTTAACGATCATGGATTGCATTGTGCCATCATCACCGGTCGGCAGTAGGAGCGCATTGTATTGTAGGAAGCTAATGCGCGACTGTGAGGCCCAATCATCCACTAAGAGCGGAGAGCACAACGGAGAATTGGATTGGGTCGTAGAGGATGCCCTTGAGGTAGCTGTAGTTGTTGATATGGCAGGAATAGTAGTGGCTAAAGGACATGATCAGTACGCTAGATAAGTCAAGGCTGAGCAAACACTAACGAACTCGGACTTACTGGTGAGGGTTGTTGGCGTCTGGCCACAAACAAAAGAGACCTTATCCAATTGCCACTGCTGGGTAGAAGAAAAGGACCCAATGATGATAGAGAGAGCCGCGTTTAGATTCGCCCCTGCAAAGCTACTCAATGGAACGCGGACTGTCTGCCAGCCCCCTGTAAGGGCTGTGACTCTAAACGACGTTTTCGTAGTGGTCGTTGCCGAACAGCTCGAGGCCCATTTGAGTTCGGCTGTAAAGGCAGCGCCCGAAGCAGGTGCCTTGATGTCAAACTGTACGTGGGAGTAGGAATCGGTTTGTAGCGCCTGGCATGGAAACGTGTCATAGTAGTAAGCTCCGCTCTTGGGGGTGAAGCTTAGGATACCATCGGCCGCGGAGATGCTGGCCATGGTACCATCGTCTATTGAAGTTTGTCAATTGAACTGCTTAAAATGCTTCTACAGTAGCGAAGTGACAGTCATACCTGAAGTCCACGAACCGAGATTGTTTCGGTTTGTTGAAAAAGAGTTGGACAAATCGTCTACTAGGAGGTCGGAGGAGCACGTAGCAGCGGCAGCGACCGCGATGTAGGCCGCCGCCAATAGGCATTGTGCCTTTATGTGTACCATTTTGGAAATGGAAGGCTCTTCTCTCAGCGTTCAATCTGAAGTACTTAGATTGAAAGCATGGAAGTCTGTGACAAAACCATGTCCATCATCGGGATCATAAACACGAAGGGCACCACCTGGCAGAACCCCTCCATCTTATATGTAAGTACTGCGTAATACCATGGCGCACAGTTCAAACCTAGAGTTGCGCCAGCCTCTTGGTATTGGAAGCCCACGTCCCGTGGTTCGGTCCAAAAAGCCTCAGCTGCAATTGTCATGCGACCCGAGCATATAGGATGTTGCCGAGCCGTGACATTGTGGCCCGGTTGGTCGATGCAGGCGTCACTAATGCGATTCTCTCATGGCCGCTAGAAAATATCGAATCCAAACAATGGGGTCGCTGCAGCAGCGATTGGTCCCCCGTGCACACTTGGCGTCAACACGTTTCCCCATGCTCCAGCTAGCTTAGGTAGGTAGCTCGTGAACTAAAGTGCTGACCATAGAGAGCTAGATTCAATGCCGTCCCAAACACATCCGCACCATTGATACATGCTCCAGAATCGAGGTCTTTTTGGTCCTGTATTCTTCCGTTGGAAGTCCGGGCCGGGGATATAAGGTTGCGTTAACCGCTCGTAGTGATCCATGCCCCCTCAATTTTGTGCGTCAACGGCCAGCCTCGTCACCTCATTCCGATGTGGGGCCGGTATAAGCTTATGTGAGCATGCCACGGCACTAGCAAACGATAGTCTCCGGATACGAGGCTTGGCGCCGCCACAGGTACGTCTTATTCGCTGTCCGAAGGCAAGGCTGCCAACAAATGCACACTGCAAAGTAATGCCACTCCATTTTCGTATTAACACAATGTATGTGTTGTAACACTGTTAAGTAAGTAAGTCCAGGGGCAGCCCTATCGGAATCTTGGGGAATTTTAGCGGCCCAACCCGCCCCATCTGTACCACAGAGCCCGCCTTTGCCGGCCACCAATCTCAGGAATATACTTAGCCAAGTACCAGTAATGAACTTTCTCAAAATCTCCTTATGGTTGTGGCGGAAATTTCACGCATACAATATGATCGAGAAACGCATAGAGGTGGTGGGGGGCTGAGAGTTGTTGGCTGATCCCCTGCATTTACCCTCCATTCCACCACTCCATCTCGCCCCTCAAGGCTTACATTAGCCCGTCCATGTGGATGGCTTGTCAGTGACCAATGGCCGTTGACCTCCATAGCCCCGGGGCGTGTTTTCCTGTTATTATTGGGAAACTCGGCTGACTTTTGGCACGGAATATGGTTGCCCAACTTTTCCTGGAGCTATTGGGGGATTAAGAAGCAACACCAGCTTCGTATAAATCGGATGATAGGCAAGGCAGTTGCCATTTTGAAAAGTATCGACTGCAAGACCACCCCTAGTACAATTTATGTAGACAGCTGGGCGAGTCTTAAAATAGCTTTTTATCTACAAGATCCACAGCAGCAGGAAACATACGGGAAGGAAGCATATGGTACCACCCTGCCTGCTCTGGTTGCCATTTTTCACCACTTAGGAATTTTCATATCTAATTCGAGATCCACACTTACGAACTATAATTGAGGTGCATGAACCAGAAATTAATAAAAATTCATCCTCGGGCGAGATCGGTCAAGATTGTTGTCTCAAGAACTTTAACAAACACAACCAAGCAATACTGACCAAAATCTGGAAAGATGACCCAGTGCTCACGTTATTTCCTTCCAATATTCAGGTCCTTCGGTTTTAAATTACATAAATTTAGTTCAGAAGGACATTAACCAAGCCTTTTTACGGACTAACACGATCTAACCTCTTTGAAGCAAAGGAATTCGTAGCTCGATTGTTCCTTTTTCCAGGGCTGTCTCTCGCCAACATGGTATTTTGGACAGCCTTGTCTTCCTTCGGAAACGCCGCACGCTCTTGATAAGGAAAGACTTCAATGGAATATCCTAGCATTTCTCCGCCAGGGTGCAGTTGTGTTTTATAATGCAATGTTGCATGCGGCTTCGAAATGACTCTTTTCTTCTTCTTTCTTCAGCGAAAAAGAAATAACATTGTGATTTCGCGCTTTCTTGACACCGTCCCTTCCCCACTACAATCCTATCGATCATCTTGTAGCACAAGCTTAGATAACCTAAAATCGAGGATATCACTGTCTATTATTAAAATTGAAATAAAGTTCCTCGAATCTTTATAGAATATGATACCAATCATGTGTCCTTACGGTAAGAAGCGCCCGTCCTGCGGTAAAGAGACTTTGGCTCCTCCGTATTACCAACGATTTCCCCCTCGTTTTTTGACTGTCTCTGGGGCACACTAATCATCTCACCATCAATCCCTGGGTTCGCGACGGCATTTTGCTGTTTGCGAAGGTAAAATTCAGGGCGGAAAGCAAAGGCACAGCAGCCAAGGCAAGGGCCGTAACGGCGATGGGGCCGTTGACAAGAGCATAAGTACGCATCGCACCATGTCTAACTGGATGATCAAACTTGTAGCTGGGGCTAAGCTTCTTTATGTTTCTATAGAGCTTTGAAATTGTTGAGTGATCAACGCCAGACATTTTCACGTGCATGCGATCGAGCATCCCATCTGTCCAAGTGACCGATGAGATGGCACTACCAATGCAAGAGCCCAGGGTAGACCACAAAGTATGTAGAGCGATGATGGAGGCCATATCATGATGAGGCACTGAAACCTAACTGCCTACACGAGCACCTAAAACGTTGAAGGAGCCGAGGCAATAGATTAACTATGCTATGATCAAGCGGGCTGTGTCTTGTATCATTCTTCAATCGCTTTGGACCAATAGACCGTAGGCGGTCACTCTCGCCACAGCACCAAAGACCATCACAGACTTTTTTGTATTGATGCGCACTCTTTGAATGAGACCTACAATGGAACTTGACAAACCAAACCCCATCGTTGTTATTGCGAGGAATATCGTCTATTCATACGTTGTCCAGTCTGTGATGACGTAGACCTATGAGGAGATATACCATAGTAGTTGTTGTGGGCTGCCGAGGCCATCTGTTTGAACGTGTAAATCGTGACCGAAGAATTGAATTTACGATTCTGGATAATCTATTTCGTCATGAGTCGCTTTGGGGAAGATCCATTGAGAAAGAAACAAATCCAACTAGCTGAACCAAGCTGATAACGAGCATGGCAATTATGCCTGCGATGGCCCAGCCGCCGTCGGCCTCCTTGGTAACCGTAAAGGGCAGTATCTTAAAATGCGACAAAAGGCTGCTCCAAGAATAACAAGTCCGCTGACGTCGATATCAATAAGGCAGGCATATGGCATCATGATCTAATAAGAGAACCCCTTGGTCTTGGTGTCCTGCTCCAAATCGCCATTGTCAGCGGTCCTGGGGCGTTTAGACGCGGCTTCTACTAAAAGAAAGAGTTTGCTAGAAAGTTTGATATGACTCGGGCCTTGCACTGATTCCGATTGGTTGGAAAGAACTTTAAGATGATCAGTTGTGTCCTTCAGCTTTGTACGAGCTCCTATTGCACATTACGGAATTGGGTGGTATTGAAGGCTCTGGCACAGGCTGTTCGACCAGGCTTGGGCTCTCCTGACGGTGTTCAACAGAGTCTTTGAAGCCTTGCTTTTAACCTCCCGACGGTAGAAAAAGCTGTACTGCATGATTTTCACATAACTTCAAATGAGACTACATAATCGAGAAGCAATACGTTAAGCCAATCCTTAATATCGCAGCTTCCTATACTCTATCCTACTTCAGGCTATTAATTGAAGCTAAGGCAACTCTCATATTATTTCGCATGCCAGTATAAAGCAGTTGGAGGCTGAGAAAACATACTGACCTTATGAGATGCCACAAGATACTCATGAAAGTTGAACAGACGAGAATTGGGTGGAGTTGCCTTTTCCCTTTACCAAATCCATTCATTCTACCAACACGTCAATATACAGGCTGCCACAAGAGTGGACCTAAACTTGAAACATTTTTTCTCATAATTGGCATCGCTACTATTTTAACAGAACCATTTTGCTTTCGACTTATCAGTTGATTCTTTACCAAGCTGTCTTTAGTAATTTACAAATGGTATTCCTTTGGGTCTGCTACCTTGACTCCCCGATTCTCCCAAACACGATCAATGTTCATATCCTCTTTACCGCTATAAATCAAGTCAGTGTGTAACCTCTTGAAGATGGAGGAACGGAAACCTTACTCGTCTCTCATGATTACAGTGGGCTCAGTGTCTCCAGCTGCAACATTTGGGTTTCTGAAAACCATGTTTTTTGTCTGTACAAGCACATAACGAGTGTCAGTAACATACAAAGTGATGTTTTGTAGAAATCTTACCAGCCCCAATGAAAGATGAATTGCCGGAGGGCTGACGGAAAGCTTTTCGGCCGGCTCTCGGCCCTCAATCATAGCGATAATGTTTCGAGCTGCTACCTGCGCCTGTGCAGCACCAGGCCGGGCAGCTTTATGTGCTCCAGTATCGGCAATGTCGCCAGCAGCAAAGAAATTGGAATATGCTGAATCCTCGAATTGGAGCGTTGGCCTGACTTTGATAAACCCATTGGATGGATTGACTATAGGAGAATCGCCACTCGGGGTGAGTGTTTGAACAAATTCGTTGTTGGGTGTTTGTCCTGTTGCAGGAATGACCAGGTCGACGAGGAGTTCGCGGTTATCTTTAAGTTTAAGGACAACTTGCTTGTCGTTGCGAACGAGGGTAGCAGGAAGTACGGCTCGCGTTCCAGTGATGAGTCTACTAAAGATCAGTACGCTCCATATGTAGGATTCAAATAACTGACCTGACGCCCAGTTCGTTGAAGCGAGCCTTGACGATTTCATCTAGCTTCTTGTGATACAGAGGCATAAGGTTCTCACGAGAATGGACAAGGGTGATCTCCTTTTCGGGGTAAAGTTCTTTCAGATCAGTCGCCATCTGGACACCAACGGCACCGCCGCCAACTATGGCGATGGACGAAGCTTTGAAGATGGATTGCTGGTAGGATCTCAAGTACTCAATTGAAGACACTTTCTCGTCATCTTGCATATTGCCGGGCGCCGGCAGCCGAGTGCCCGTGGCGACAACAAGGTAATCAAACGGAATTTCGTTCAACCCTTGCCAATCCCGATCAAGAATAACGGTGTCACGGCGGAGGGACTTAGCGTTTGCTTGGATGACTTGGTGCTGAGAAGGGTTAGGGGATCCTGCGAAAGTCGCAGTATAGGGGATGAAGGCCTTGTGCTCATATTTAGGCACAACCGCGAAACGGGGCTGGTGAAGAGTCAGTTACCTCAAAAGTAGCTTTGGGATTTTTAGTAGCGGCTCACAAATGCAAAGAGGTGGTGAAAATGGCTGTGTGGCTCAACAAGTAAGATCTAACGCAATGGTGATGATTGGTTAGTAAGATTTAATCAAAGTTTGGAGCAGCAACTTTTCTTACACGATGAGATGCTGGCAGCACAGCTGCTAGCTCCTTGGCGGCAGCCTAGAACTACAGTAAGCGACAGCATTAGACAAAGCAGTTGCCAATTGCACGTACGAGTCCGACGTAGGAACCGCCAATAATAACAACATTTCTCAGTGGTTGAAGCATGATGTCTAACGAACAGGTAGTTAAGGATAATGTAGGTGTTGATCAAGAAAGACAGTTCAATATGAAATCACGAAATAGGAGACGTAGATTAATGTGTTTTCGGAGATGCTCGGATTTCGAAACACCGAGCGGAAGAGAGTCTAAGCTCGGGTAATGACACAAGAAATGGGGGATAACGGGAATAAGAATAGCCAGAATATTTGTAATCTGAGCCGACAAGAATAGGCCGACGATTATTACCACCATAAGAAAAAGTCCGAAGCACGTTACAATAACAATATCAACCGACTTTAACTGAAATCGCAGACGTCGGCGTTAACACTCGGCGAATAGTGGAGCATATCGCGATGTACACAGGTAAACTTTATTAGATCGAAACTGTGGCCAATGAGTTCGGGATAATCCGACATCCCCGGGTTAGTATGGACACGTCATGTCTTACGTGTTTACACACGACTCAGGATTGAGGATTTCCGATTAGGTGAAGCGCGAGCAAAGACAAGCCTAACGGGTCTGTTTACAGTTGAAGTAATAGCTAATTATTGAATCGCTTTTGCAGAACGTATCAAAAACTTACTCATAGATGGGTTGAAAAGGCAAGAAGAGCAAAAAAAGTAGAGAGTATAAAGCCATGCCTGCACTACTAAGGAAGTTAACATAGAGAAGTATCAAATTGCGCTTCCCAATGACGTTGCGAGGACACTCAACAGTATTCAAACAGCTTTTACAGGGACACTTGAAAAAAAGGCGATTATCGTTACCTGGTTAATTGACTTCCAAGTGTTTAGAGTCGAGCTTTGTTGCTCAATTCCCGTCGTCCTAGAAATTGTTTTGGTATGCTTTCCGCTTTTTCGCAAGCAGTTTGTGATAAGATAGCAATAAGGACTTATGCTGATCAGTTCGGCCAGGCGAAGAGCGCTTAACACCTTAATGACAATGGTAGGCAAGCTGTTAGGAAAAACGCCTTCGGCATCAAATAATGCTGGCTGTTGAAACAACGTGCGAACTTTTGGTATTTGAAACCGCGGGAAAGCAAGCTACTAAAACAGCTCAAGCTTATGGATATATCATGATCCCCATTCTACCGCTGGGGTACGTTGTGCCTGGATTGGTCTTCAATAGCGCTTACGGTAGAAGTTAAATTCGCTTTGGGTAAAGAAGGTATGAAATGGTTTTGATGGCGCAGCAACGAAAGCTCACCAGCCTCATTAAACCATACTTTTGGGGTTAGAGCTACTTGACTATTGCTTGGGCTGCAAGAGGCATATTTGGGTAGGACATTAGCACTAGTAGGCGCGTACTTGAGTTTGTTGCATTGGGCCAGAGGCTCAGTAATAATTGTTGATACTGAAAATGCAGTTATTTCTGCTGCAAAAGATGGTTGGAGCCAACACAGGGGATGCCCCTAAGCTTATGCACAACATCAGAAACAGACCAGCTTATTAGAAAGCTTATTTGTGCTGTGAACCAATGAAGTTCACTGTCGGTTTGAGCACTTTTGTTGCTAAACTTGCTATCCTCAGCATTTAATGCACGTTGGCAGCACGCCGGTCCACATGAACAATTTCAAGGGATAAGAGGAGGATTCTTCAAAGGCATTGCTGAATACATGATTCGCCTCGGGGAATTCCTTAAGAAGGGTCACAATAGTATTCACTCCTTGGATGCTACCGAGATTTCTGTGATTCTTATCGTCGAAACTCTGAAAAGCCGGGAAGAGATACTGGATGATGTGAAAGCTTGCAAGCTGCTTTTTACCCGCGATTAATGATAAATTTGAATTGCAAAGGTACGTCAAACTTGCACGCAAGCCATCAAAGATTTTGCTAGTTGTTTAGAAGTTGACTGTACCTGGTGTTTAGGGAAAATAGTTAAGATAGATTCGAAATCGTACAAAGTCTTGCAATTGCAAAAATATTGATACAAGTCGGGTATTCGTGACGGTAGTAGAGGTATACAGCATTTCACTTAGCAGGACCCTATGGGAAGCATTTTCTGCATCTGTAGCTTCCTAGTATAGCACAAATGCTCCTGTACTTCAGATCAACATGAGAACAATCGTAAAGAAACTAAGCCTAACCAGTTTACACCAAAATCCTCAACACTGTTATAATGTCATCATTTTGTCTTCAAATTGTCGGCTTGCATTTTTTCCCTGTCTAACCACTTGGCTACATAATGATTGGTCGGGTTCACCCTGCTGCATGTCGAAACGTAAAATATCTGATTGACTCGGACTTGTGGATTAAATCCTAATTTGGCGCTGGCGCCTTGGCACCTGTAGCCCCTAAAAGTTGTAGGCGAAGAGCTCGATTAAGCGACGACGGATGTGTGGAGTTCTGATACGAATAATCATATCAAATACGAATAATCAAGGTTTGCCTCTTAATAGCTCGAGAATCCGACAGTGAATGTATCAACCCAAATTAGCAACCTGAAGCGCCATTGCCAAATGGATGGAAAGCGCATGGGCCGGCTGTATTCAAAGCTACATGGTGTGCCGCAACAGGTACATGACATCTGGAGTACCAGCCAATCATACTCTGATAGTGCGATTTCGGTCGAATGGTAAGCATGATCTAGGTACAAGTTGGAGAAATATGGGCTTTAAAATGGATCGGTATGTACCCGTTGCCTCGTGATAGCCGATAGGATGAATATGAATTGTTGTATAAGTATTTAGTTGAGCCTTTCTACCTTAGCATTGACTACTCCGATTACTAAATTGCTCCTCAAAGATCAATGCCGCTCTACAATGCCTCAACAGGATAGTCTTCGTTTCTGCAACACAAGGACAAGAGTCTTCATTCTCACCGACATCACGAATGAGCCTGATGATTCCGAGTCCCTCGTCCGTTACCTCCTCTACAGTAACGAGTTCGACACAAGGGGCCTTGTGGCGTGCACATCTACGCACATGAGATCCCGCGTTTCCCCTGAAGAAATTGAAAGCATTGTCGAGGGATATGCCAAAGTCGTGGGTAACCTGAATGCGCATACACATCCTGCAAACCAATACCCAAGCGCACAGGCTCTGCGGGCCTTGATAAAAAGTGGACCTGCAGTGTACGGGAAACTCGCCCTGGAAGTACCCCTCAGCGAAGGCTCCGAGCTCCTCATTAACACCGTCGACGAATCTGAAGAGCCCTTGTGGGTGCTTTGCTGGGGTGGAGCTAATCCGTTGGCACAAGCCGTTGATCACGTCGACAAGACACGAGATGCCGCTGACAGCGCCAGATTTCGGTCGAAGTTGAGAGTTTACGCTATATCGGACCAAGATGACACCGGAGCCTGGCTTAGGATACGTTATTCAGATATTTTCTACATCTGCTCGGTTCATGGCTGGTCCCAGTACAACTGTGCGGCATGGACCGGCATTTCTGGTCCGACTGATCCTGGAGGTGCCGATCCAAGCCTGTTCACGAAAGAGTGGCTTAAGCGACACATACAAATCGGCCCACTGGGCGAAACATATCCTGACTTCAAGTTCCTCGTCGAAGGTGATACTCCGACCTTCCTGTACCTGATTCAGAATGGACTCGGCTCATCCGAACACCCACATTGGGGAAGTTGGGGCGGTCGATACACCTATTATGATCCCAGTGAATCGGGGAAGCACTTTGCGGATGCTGTAGACAGCGTCGTTGGCGTGGACGGGCGGGTCCACACCAGCAACTTTGCCACAATTTGGAGATGGCGTCAAGCATTCCAGAACGACTTTGCCGCCCGCATGCAGTGGACACTTACAGACCGGACTGCGGCTGTCAATCACGCACCCGTTGTATTCGTCAATGAAAGCACAGGGGGGCCTGAACCGTTGCTATTGGAGTGTGAGGCGGACGAGAAGCTGATACTGGATGCCTCGAAAAGCTACGATCCCGACGGTGACACTATTTATTTTCACTGGTTTCAATACAGGGAGCCGACCGGCGTCGCCGGCTTGCTGCGTGAGATGATTCCAGACCTCGAGATTACTTACCTTGACCCGGAGGCATCAGGAAGGAGAGTTGAGCTTAAGATGCCGCCTCCCGAGGTGTGCTGTCTGGACCACATGAGTGGCAACCCCTTGGAGAAAGGACAGGTTTATCATTTCGTCCTCGAGGTTTCTGACAGTGGCACACCAAGTCTTACAACCTACAAGCGGATCGTTATTCAGACTACAAATCGCGAGCTGCTGGGCGGCCGTCCTAATTCGGTGGACACGAACGCAGAATGGCTTCTCCTTAGGCGGTGATATATAGAAACAGTTCATATACTGATAGGCTGGGTGATTGGGCACCTGTGGATTCCTGGGGGAAAAGCCACTGTCCTAGCAGTTTTAAAAGTAGCTCAAAAAGCTTCATGCAATAGAAGTCACCGAAAACAAACAGCTTGCGAACGAGTGGCGAAGTTTTTCCAGTTAAGGATGAATATCAATATATTATTACCAGCATGATCTAGCAGGAATGCAAAGCTATGCGCGAAAAACCATGCCAGTGCTGTCCAAGGAGCATGCGAGTGGAGTTGAGTTCGAAACATGAAATGTCATGTGGGCAAATGAGTTGATGGCAAATTCGCGTAAATGCTTTTGTAATTATTTCAGTTCGGAAGAGGAAGAATGCGAATGGTGCACTATGATAAGTTGAAGGCTTCGATTTGTTAGAGCCTGACCGTGGAGCCATGGAGTACGAAAGGAATATCACAGGGTTGTACAGGGAGCCGACTGGAACATGCAAAAGGCCTCGCAAATTCATGCGAACAACCAGCCCTTATTTGTATTCGACCTTTGTAGTTGCCACCAACATGCTATGGCTTTGACAACCAACCCTGTCCACTGAAATCTTGGTGACTACTGATCGAGGAAGCGCCTCGATAGGTGGGCGATCACTGCCAGATTTACTAGCTGTGGAATACGAAGACATGTGTATCCATCTGTTCTTACGGACTCACACTACCCATCGAATGCTCTTAGTTTAACGTTTTCATCCGCGACATGGCCTGATGCTATAGATGCCCAAATTTAACTCTTCACATCACACAGCCCGACTGTTTGTCGGTCGGGCTCGTCACCAGCGGTAAATTACCAGGTCACGCGTCAGCTTAACAATGAGGAGACTAATTTTGTCTTTGGGACATTTAACTAAAATGTCGTGAGCTAAGTCTTCAGGAACGGTAACGACAAACGACTACATCAGATCCTCACAGATGCCAATGACTAAAACGATTAAAGCCTAATTCTGTGTCAGAGGCTATACTGTATGGGGTAAAGAGGTCAGGTAGGTATCTCAAGATAACTACATTCATCGTTAGCCTTCTAAATTTCTTATAGATTGAGGCTCTTACTTATAGGAGATATACTAATAGTTAGATATTTTGCTACTTACCCATTTCCTAATATCCTATCCCTTATATCTCCCTCGCAAGCCTATGTCCCCCTGTGTTAGCCTGCAAACCCCTTCAACCCCGTGACATTCTGCTACAAACTGATTCTCAAGACTGTCGCTAAGTTTTACTACAAATACACGCCTATATCAGAATCCTTCAGAGTTGGTTCGGAACTGAGCGGATATCTTGTAGCGGTAGCGAGCCACAGGTGGATGTCTTCATAAAGCTGAGTGACCCTAATTCTTCTGGCTTCTCAAACCACCATCTGGTTGGCCTCCTTACTGGTTTCGACCATGCGCTGAGTTACCGTGGCAGTCTTATGGAATCTCCATGGCCTAATCTTTCTTTCGAAGAGCTCATCAAGCTCGGCCGCAGACCGTCTGAATGAATTCAATTAGGGGCTGGGAATCATAAGATTCAAGGTCTGAAGACGAGAGAAACTTACCCTTTCGTCTCAGGAATGAGAAACCACATCGCTGCTGTGAACGGTAGGCCAAGGCCGACAAAGAACCACGAAGTTTTCAGACCCCAATTCCAATCATTGGCGTTGATCATGTACGGAATGAGGACGCCCAGCACGACACCGACAACGCAGGTAGAAGCGGCTGCAAACCCAGCTGTATAGTGGCGAAGACGCTGGGACGAAATCTCTCCAATAAAGCCCCAGCCCGTGGCACCGTTCGCGACCAAACCAACATCTAACGTAACGTCGTCAGCATGAAGCCCCAGGCCAAATAAATTCAAAAATGAAATAACTAAGGGTTACCAGGAGATTTCGGACTTACTCCAAATAACGGTGAACAACACCAACACATACTGAGATGCATTGGTCTCAGGGGTGACTCCTAGGATGCCGACAACCACGGTGCATACCCAGCAAATAGTGGTGCCACCACAAGCCAACAAACGTCGACCAACAACATCCGCAAGGTAGATTACGATGACGCTAAAAAATATGTTGATGCCAGATACTATGCAAGTGATCTTGAACGGATCTTGGATGCCGGTCTGCTGAAAGAAATAGGTGACATAGGCGAAAAAGATGCCTAGACCAATGAACTGTTGCGAAAGCAGGGTCCACATAGCAATGACTGTTCGGAGACCATCTTGTCCGCGGAAGATGGAGTACCATTTCTCGCGGCGCTGCTCGGCGGCGACCTCTTTCTCATGCTCAACGATAAGAACTAGAAGGTTGTACTGGTGGTCAAGGTCATAACCGTTTACATCCCAGTGCAGTTGACGGAGGGCCTTCCTGGCGCGCTCCTCCTTGCCCTGCGAGACACACCATGCGGGTGACTCGGGTACAAAGAGGTAAATGATAATCATGAGACCAATTTGAGACTATTGAGTGTAGATTGGAATAAGGTAGTCATTGAGAGCACGCTCCGATCGGACTTGAAGGGCGACGGGAGCGAAGAACTGGCCGATGAGCCACCACAAACTGTAGCACATGAGGAGTGAGCCACGGATCCGCGTGGGTGCCACCTCAGAGATGTACGTGGGAATGGTAGTCTGCAGGCATCCGACCCCAATGCCCCCAAAAAGTTTGGCCACAAGCCATACCTGCCAGTTCTTGGCGATGCACTCCAAGGCGACGCTTAGGGCGAGGAGGAACCACAGCCAGTACATGGCAAACTTTCTGCCCCAACGACCCGACAGGAATGGAAGCGTGACCATGCCAATGATTTGGCCAGCGGAGCCAATGCCATTGAATCCGCTAAGAACTGGTGAGGCCAGATATTTTTGGCCTTGGCTGTTAATCTCAGTCCCGAACTGTTCCACGAAGCCGGCGTTGGCGATAATGTTCCCAACCATACTATGATCATATTAATTACAACTAGATGTTACATGCCTCTTCTAAACTCGGCAAAAGAGTAAAAGAGGCTCTAGCGACAGGTGCGTAGAGATTATAGTTACGTACCCAATCTGATAGCCATCGGTAGCGGCACTAAGAGCGACTATGAAGCATATGAAAGAGTTGAACTTAAACTTCTTCACAGTGGCCCAAAGGGAAAGATCTTCATAGCCGCTTACACCTTGACCAGTGGCTGCAGCCTCGGAGCTGAGATTTTTGGTCATCGACGTGCCAAGGACATCTTGGTGCCCGACGACTTCAGTTGCGGTCTTTTCGTCCAGGGCCATGTTTGCGTTGTCGTCACCACAATGTTCGGCCTAATTGACGTGAATGTGAGTAGAAGAGATGCAATGCAAAGCCAATAAACTCACAGGGTCGCAGAGTGAGCTAAGAATAAAAGAATTCGTTAACTTTATGGAAGAAAGCAGCCAGCAAGATATTTAATAAAGTGATAACTGACCTCGCTTTTGGCAAGGCCTCGAATTCCCACTTAGGAGCCTTGTTACCTTGCAACAGATTCAGTACATCAGTAACCACCCTTTTTCACTATACCCGTCAGGTATTACAAGAGCCTGCGAGGACTTCTAGTACGCTAATAGTTTATGAGAGATAGATGTACCAGAAGTCTATGTACATGGTTCAACAAAGTTGGTAGACATGTGAAGCCTAACTGGCTGTACCTCGCCCGCCCTTGGTATCCAAGGGAACCTGGGGTAATCTCACCCACAATTACCCCAGATGGGGAGGCCCAAAGATGCGCCACTGGCAAGCTAGTCTCTCCTTTCCACACTGTGACCCCCAGATGAACTGCAGCTCGGTCAAAACTCATCCGACTCACCCTCTTCGACTTCCACACATTTCTTAGCTTGCTTGTGACACTGACAACGGTTTGTTACCGTGCTTATTCTTGCCTTTTCTGGGCTGTTTCATTCTGTCCTTGCATTAGGCCATTGGAGGGATTGACTGTACTTTTGAACTAGTGATCCTTCCTTATCCATTCAACGCTAGGAGTTATTTGCCCTAGCAGATTGGAGCGCCTTCGATAGCACAAGGAAATTAAACCGGTTTTGACGATTCAAAATAGTTCAGTACGGAGAATGGTGTGAGCTTGGTACCGCTCCGAATTGAACAGTCAACAAGTGACCATTCATTAAGCGCCTAGTTCAGTCCAGCTGAATACGCATGGCAGCTCGAAAACGGAGATCAAAAGAGTAGTGCCAAAACCTGGCTAATTCAACGCTGATAAACTCAAGTAGGTCTTAATATCATGGTGTTCCCATTGACTTTGCCCAAACCTTGCCATCGTTCACATAGCCAGATGACTCTGTCAACAGTGACCAAATATCCAAGCCCCATCCAGTTTAATGCAGCAGTCAAGCCATTACAGCAAGCCATCGGATATTGGGAGGGGCGGAGTGAAAAACTCGTGCACAATGTCAACTGACCTCGTCATTGGTATCCCCACATCGGCCTGGGGTTATCGCATAGATCCTGGAGTGATACTGGGGCTGAACTGGTCGGGCTATCCACCTCGACCAATCATAGAATTTTCGTTCATCGTATTGGATTCAGGATGAGCCGCCACCACACCAGCAAGAGTGGGGCTAGCTGCTTGACTCCAACCGAGAGTATCTGCCAGCAATGTACCGGATAATAAAGAGCTAATCCAGAGGGATAGGGCGGTGAGGAGCTCCTCAAAACTCGGAGGAGTCCAGATCAGACTGCTTTGAAGCTAGGTCATCAGATTCTTTTGTGTAGTTAGGTAGGACACGAGTGCCGCCCCCCACTCGCTTGACCCGAAGTTTGGCGAGGTGCCGCCATGATGCTGCTGGCGCACTCAAATTTAACGCTCCCGAAACACGAAACCCTTCAGAGACGAATTTTATGTGCTGCCTGGCTAGCTACGGCAGGTGGTATCAAAAGATGCTTCATTTTGGTCCAGTATTGCTGGAGATCAAGGCCGGAATGCCGCATAAGATATGAATAGAGTAGAGAGAAAATCAAAATCCAGCATATCCTATCTAAAATTACTAGCAACCCTCTTTGTTATTCGTCTCCTGCTCTATGCTCAACGAGCAATTCAAAGGAACGCAGAGTTCGCATCCTTCAATTTCAGATACAGCCGCTGGGAGTATGTTATCGAACCTTGACTATAAACCCTCGATTCGCAAAATACTTGGCTACAGGTGCAATCTACTATCACTGCAATCGACTAGTTGACCAAAACGCGAGCTCGACCAAGGTTCATGGCTCTCGCATAAGGCGAAGAGGCATTGCCCTCACGCTGAGATGCCACTCTTATAACGGGAAGATACGTTCCTGTCTCATTGTAACTCATCCCTAGCTCAAGGTCAAGGCTGGACACCAGTGAGGGCAATGGGTGAGACGCGAATGCGCCGTTGCCATGGAAATCCTACTCGACCGCCACGATCTTGCTGGAACCCATGGGTATCTCGATAAGCACCTTGAATGATACTACCTCGCCTACTGCCACTTCGGCCTTCTCAGCGCCATTGACCATTAGTTTGGCTACTGGCTGGATGCCATGGCGTTCTGCAGCTGTCCCGGCAACCGACACCTGGGAATCGCTCAGTGTATAGTTGGTGTTGCTCGCAGGCAAAACCCCATTTTGTACCCAGTCAGCGAGCTCACGCAAGGCATACTGAATAGTGCCTCTGAATGCGACTCTTTGCGTGCCTATCGGACCGGACACCTCGGTTACATCGTAATCATGATTTGCGTGTTCGTTAAACCAGAGTCTGTAGTTGTCATCGAAAGAACTCCCGAGAGAGTCTTCTACTTGCTTCCGGTACCAGATTGCATGCCAAGGGTAGGCGTCAGAGTCCAGAAGGTTGTCGACGATAATCAACTTTGTGCTAATGTTGCCAGTATGAGTTCCTCCGCCGGATGAAGACTCTGCGAACTTTTCGGCCAGAATAACATCCCGCTGGGTGTACATTGGCTTGCCCGAGGCGTCGCGGAACTGATCGAAGGTGAAGAAGCCATTTCGCGATGGGAGCTGGTGACGGTGGTACAGGGACATGGCCAAGTAGAGCCGGTTGTCCAAAATTACTTCTAATCCTGGTGCCAGCGCACTCACGGTTGTCTCATTGCTAGCATCGTACAGGTTGACTGTTCTCGACTCCACATCGAGATTGCCCCATAATAAACCAAGGAAAGAACCCGCCTGGTCGTAGATTCTGAAGTCCAACCCCAAGGGGTCGGATATTACCGGCAGGTCTGCTAAAACGATGGTGGCAGGAGAGCTAGGCTCAGCGGGGATGAATCGCTCAATCATTGTCGTGTGGTTTACTAGAGCGGAGCGAAGAAAGTCACCCAACTCGGATTGTTCGGTTCCCTCATAGCCGGGAAGTAGCCAAAAATCGTCAATGTAGGACGGGTCAACGGAGCGATAACTTTGGTTGAGCAGTTGTAAACTTCGAGTGCCAGCAACCCAATTCCAATCCTCCCAAGACTCGATTGGTACACCCAATGATGTTGCCTCACGGAAGACGTCTGCCTGCAGTGCAGTGAGGCCGGCATAGGGGTCACTGCTTCCACCCGGACGGACAGCATCGATTATTGATGAAGCTTTATGCTTGAGAACATGGGAGACCAGAGCTCTTACAGAGAGTGTTGGTGGGTTGGACTCCGGAACGCCTTGAATGAATGCTACAGCGCCATCCCAGACCCCTTCCGTATTCTCGATGCCGCCAATTGTCTGATAAGATCCTCCGCTACCACCAAACAAGTAACCGTAGATGTGTAGTGTGATGCCATAATACTTGGAAGCAACCTGGCGAGAAAATTTTGCAGCTGCGGCATCAGCACGGTAGCCAAGTGTGCCAGTAATTTGGATGAGGTATGCACCACTGTCAAGAGCAAACCCAAGGGTATCGTTGTCGGCATTTTCGGACGCTGTAGGGTAGACATAGTGAAAGAAATGACCTCTCCACTGAGCTTTGGTTGGGAGATATATGTTGACGTGGGTGGTAGTGTTGTCGAAGTGTCCAGCAACCTTGCGATGAGCGGCTGGGCTAATCTCATCGCTCTGCGAATCAATGATAATATTGTTCCATTTGTCATCAACGCAATCAGCGGTGATGAGAGCAGGCCCAGAAGGGGGTAAGACACAAGCTGTGCCCGCAGACATGCCTCGTGTGGCCATCAGCAGCATGACCAACCCGCTTGCCCAGCGACTAGAAAGAAGTATCGTCTATTCAGCCTCGTCATCAACAAAGTAAAACGAAAGACATGGGTTGAAGATGTTACAGTTCGCCGGGAAAACTAACCTAGCCAACATTTTGCTAGTAGTGTCAATGGCTACCTGTAGAGATCTCAGTGGATGGAACCAAGTAGAAAATTTCGCCATCCTCAAGAGCATGGAATGATACACTTCATTAAAAAAGGGCCCGGAAGGTTTTGGCAGTTGCCAATAAGCCGGTGTTGATTATGGGCTGCTAGTTGTTGTTGACATGGTGTTTGAACGCTTTCGGCGAGATTCAAATGTGACAGGAGCACTACATATACATCTCACGAAGAGATTTGCAACGGCATGGCCAACTTGGCAAGTCTTACATTTCGGCAGATAGGAACAACCTGACTTGGAATGTAGGGTTTCTGAAATAATTCTTTTCTTACGAATCACCCGCAGTGTCACCTACACTTGGTCTTACCCCACATCCGTTCTTGGATATCTGGGGTATGGGGAATGATTTCCAGCTACCTGGGCACCTCGCACAGTATGTGAAGATCGACGATACTGGCTCAGCCAGCCCACATCCCAACCACACCCAATTCTAGTGGAGGAGTAAATGTCAGCCCTCGGGAACACCTGTCAGGTTCGTCACGAGGCCTAATCCGTTGTACAGTTAGAGAATGTTCGTATAAGTACCAAATTTAATTGATTGAATTATCGCGTGTCTGGTCGACCTCCCCCGAGTGTCGGCAATCCTTAAAGCTTCACATCGTTGCTCTCTGGTTGGAGCGCTAGACCACGTCCCGGTGCGATTTCTCAAAGCGAGACATTAAGCGAGATCAACCTATAGCTTGATGACTCGGATGTCTCTGAGCTGCTTGTCACCGCCTCTCCTGATGCACCTAATTGGAGCTTTTGGTCAGTTCAGGGGGCCAATTTTCCAAACCATGTAGACTTGTACCAGCCAGTAAAATGTACAGCCACTAAATTGGCAACAGAGTAACAGATTCGGGGTTTCGGTGGGAAGTGGTTGCATATCAGCTATCCGAAATAGGTAGTAAAAGAAGCGCCCTTCTCAAAAGAAGGCAATCATACGCGACTTCAAAAGAGGAAAGCGTAAGCCCTTGTATCACTGCGACTTACTCAAATTCCGCGCCAATTATTGATCATGCTTAAACCCATCGTAATAGTCCCGAAAGGCGAGCAAACTGTAATTAGGAACAGTCACAGTTAGAGGTTCACGGTTGGCTATGTAGGAAACACTAATTGACCCCTTTCTTGTACCAAGCTGGTCGAGTAAGTATATATACTCACAATTCTTGTCGGTGCTGAACTGAATACTAGCTGAAGCAGACACGGGCTCCATAAATCTTTAGGTGCGATTTTCAATAGGTAGCATATGCGAAGTGACCACATAACACCACCCACACTGCCGGTATCCTGTCATTTCACGGGGCATACATCCGAACCAATTGCTAGCCCTCGTTTGCTCTGGTCTAAAGGTAAGCCATAAGTTTTCAGCTAAAACGGCTTGTCACTCCAAAGTAACAGGTTTGTGGGAGGAGGACCTGTTAAGCTAAGGGGCTGGCCGGTTAATCAAAAGCCTCGAAGATTACGAAGACCCACAATACGTTGATCTCTGGGGTGGCACAAACACGGTAGCACAAGCTTTGCACCACAGTCAGCAGACATATCCGAGTCGCAAGCTGCCCGGCTTCGATCCTGACTGCGAGTTGATTCTATTTCTGACCAGGGTGACGCTAGGATGTGGATTCGAGATTTCTGGCCAGAAGTCACATACATCGCAAGCGTTAATGGTTTTGGGGGCAGATATCAGCTACCCTAAGCTTGTCCAACAATAGACTTGATGAAATAACGAACCACAGGGGCCGTAGAACAATACTGCGGGATAAAGGTGAGGAAAGATGAGAAGACAGCAAAGTAGGGTATCATTGTCGCGGATCTGCATGCTTGTGATCGTGAGACGGATCTAGTGTCACTAATTCCAGTCAGACTGACCATGATGAGTACTAGGATAAAGGCCTCCACAAGGTCTTCACCAGCCCTGTTGGACACAGGTGGCATGGCAGGGCATGTTGTTTCTGATACTATTCGTAGAACCCAGGAGAGCTTCAGGACATACCTGCAAGTCTCTCGTGTGCGGTGCATGATTCTACATCAGATCAAGGATCATAGATCATTAGTTTGTTCGCAAGAAAGTTTTCAATGTGTTAAATTTTGTCTTTCCACACACCACGTGGTTCTCGCGACAGTCAGCTGGTCTCGGCTTGGCTGCTTTCTTCCCACTCCATCAGAGTTGATAAGGATGATTCTGCATCCGGATGGTGGGAGCCGAGCAACTTTTGTTGGCGGAGAACACAATCTCGCATTAGTTGTACCGCGTCTTCAGAGCGGCCTTGGCTCTTCCAGGTGTTTGCAAGATTGTTCATGCTGCTCAACGTGTCGGGGTGATCCTCTCCCAGCACTCTCTTTCTTGTCTCCATCACTCGCACAAAAAGCTCTTCCGCGTCCTTCCACCGGCCTTGGTTCGAGTATGTCGAGGCGAGATTAGCCATACTGCTCAGTGTAGAGGGATGGTCCTCTCCTAATACCGCCGAACTTGTCTCCACCACTCGCAGTAACAGCTCTTCCGCTTCTTTCCACCGTCCTTGAATCTGGTATGTTGATGCAAGACTGGTCTTAGTTCTCAACATATCGGGGTGTTCCTCTCCAAGTATTACTGAACTTGCATCTATCACTTGCATAAATAGCTCTTCCGCCTCTTTCCACCGGCCTTGATCTTGGTACGTTAATGCAAGACTGGTCATACTTCTTAAGGTATTGGGATGATTCTCTCCAAGTACCGTCGAACTAGTGTCTAGTACTTGTACTTCTAGCTCCTCGGACTCCTTCCACCGGCCTTGGTTTCGGTATGTCGACGCAAGATTGGCCATGCTGCTCAGCGTGTCGGGGTGATCCTCTCCCAGCACTCTCTTTCTTGTCTCCATCACTCGCACAAAAAGCTCTTCCGCGTCCTTCCACCGGCCTTGGTTCCGGTATGTCGACGCAAGATTGGCCATGCTGCTCAGCGTGTCGGGGTGCTTATCTCCAAGCACTTGTTTGCGCATATTTACTGCTTGGGCTTGGCTTAACTCGGCATCCTTCCACTGTCCCCGATAAAAGAAGTATCCTGCTACATTATGCAAAAGAGACGCCCTTGCTACTTGTCCGTCTTCCAGATCAGCACTAGCATTCTCAAGGACAGCATTAGCATGCGGAAGGTACTGTAGGCACAAATCCCGAGTCTCATGCTGCCCAAAGGGATACGCAGATGACACTGTCTGGAGCGCCTGCATCGTAAACTCAGACATCCTACCCCGACTAACCAGCCATTTCCGTGTAACTACCTGTATTAGCCGGTGCATGTCCACAGACTGATTATCCACTTCTGAGACGAAGGAAAACGCTTTCAGAATGCCGAAGGCCTTAACCAGCTCTACTGCTTGGTTTGCCTCCGGCATTTTTGACTTTCTTCGGCGGCAATAATCAACCACAAAGTCTTTCGGGATAGCCTGGCAATCAAAAAGACTGATTAAAGACAGAACCTCGCTGGCTAAGGGATGCTGCCGCTCAATCTGTTCAAACGAAATTACCCACGTGGCCGTGAGTGTATGAGACGTTTCTGAATCCCTTCCACTAGCTTCGAACGGCTCGCTCAAGCAATCAACTAAGCCGGTGTTGCTCTCATCTAATATCCGGATGTAATCGTTGATCGACATGCTATTTTCTTGTATGTATGATGCCGCCTGCGCGAGTGCTAGTGGTAGATGCTCCAGCCTGGCCGAGAGGAGCGATGTCTCCGCCGTGGAAATTGTGTCGTCGTCAAGCATTAAGCGCAGCAGCTGGGTTGCTTCATTGTAGGCCATCCTGCTGATCTCAATTGGAGGCTTTCCCAAGGCGAGCCTGGCTCCGAGTTGCTTATCTCTTGTAGTGATGAGAATCGACCCGTGAGCACACACGGGTATGTAGCGTCCCAAGTTGCCTTCTGCTTCTGTCGTACCAGTCAATACATCGCTCGCATGCCCTGCATGAAAGAAGAGCTGCGTGTCGTCGGCATTGTCGACCACCATCAGCCACTGGTTTCGCTCCTTGTCCTCCAACCATTTCTTGGTAAGCATAAGCAGGTCAGCTTTGGGGTCGTCACATCCAGGAATATTGCACTCTTTGGCGATGGACGCAAAAGCCTGGTGGAACCGCTGCGCATTGCTGGCATGGACCCAGAACACGGACACATCCGGACGGGCATCTTTTAGCCAGTACACGTACGCCAGCGCTGCTTGTGTCTTTCTGTGCGTGAAGTTAGAGATGGTCACTTTGATGGGGCGGCTTACTATACCCAATACCGCCGAGGCCGTAAACAGCTACTCTCGACCCCGGTGTGGTGGTCTGGCTTTGACTACGTCTGAGACGCTGCCTGATGGTCTCAAGGACATCGCCTCGACCGACAAAGTCTGGATTCTCCGAGTATGGGACAAGGACTAAGACTTGTTAGCGAAACCCAAGTGTGTGGCCCAGTAACTTACACCATGTTCTGGCGGCTGATGGCGCATCTGTTTGGGGGTAGCGCTCAAGAAATGCCTTCATCGTAGAGGCCGCTGCTGCAGCCGCGAAGGCATACCATTTCTTTTTCATGTGACTATCTGCATAGTCACAAACAGCCTTGATGACGATACATGGGATCTCTTCCGACACACCCGCTCCTTCCATCTCGAAAGCTATGATACTATGCTCTTCAGCGATCCTATCGCGTTGTTCGCCCGACTTCATCACAGCCTCGCCCGATCCTATATGGCCAAAGAATATACGAGGCTCCTGTAATAAGGTGGTATATCCCTCCTTCTCTTGGCTTATCTTCCTCTCGAGGCGCTCTCGTGGAACAAGACGTCCCACATCACACTGGAGCTGCTCGCAGGAAGTGATACGTGCGCTTGAGCAGGCACCTGACTCGTTGCAGGAGCACATCCGTTGGTCACGGTGCCTGTGTAGGTAAACTGGTTCGAACAGTTTATCCTCTGTCGCCGGAGGACAGTTGTATAGAGTGCGGTGTCCATTACTTTTAGCCCTCTGCTGGATCTGTGCCAGGATCTGGGCGGTCCGGCGCTGGAGGTCATTCAGCCCAAGGTGTGTCTCAAAGGTTGCGAGCAGAAACCGTGTGACTTTGTTCGTTCGGCCGAGGTTATTTTCGACAGTGTGATTCCGGGCGAACTGACCCCCTTCATATTGCACGATGCTCTTGCTGATGATCACGTCCCCAAGAAGAATTTCCTTGTTGGTCCCTGGGCTGGGCACTCCACTGCAAATACCAGTCAAGACGGCCAACTTCAATTTGGGGTAGACAAGTCGCAGACCGACTGTTGCGCTAGCCACGCTAGCCTTTCCCGTTTGAGGAAGAAGCGCTAGGACGACGTTGTGGCTTCCGATCCGGCCAATCTTTTTCATGCTATAATCCCATATTGCAGTCTCGACCTCGTGCTCGTCTTCATCCCAAGATTCATCAAAAGCCAAGGCGACGGCGTCATATTCGAGGCGCAGAGCGCATATCACCGCAATCTGGAAGTCCTGGCGACAGGGTCGAGTGGTCTTGTCAGACGCGGAATTCGTATCATATACACCATCCGAGTCGGTGACAAAATGAATCAAATCTTCTATGCTTGGGACGTTGTACCATTTGCAAGCAAAGGCTGCGAGACTCTTATACCCAGGCTCCAAAAGGATCGATGCGTGCAACTCTTGATGTTGTTCTTTGATACTCTCAAAATGGTCGTAAATTTCCAATCGAGCACCCAGTGCCTCTTCGCCACTTCGATTGTTGTCATCGAATGTGAGAGGAGACTCCCATGTTGACCTGGAATCTCGGATTGTAGAACGAGTGCACGCCTTGGAGTCTAGCTCGTCATCATCACCGGTGAAAAACATGTCGGATCCTTGGCTCCCAGGCTGAATAGAGAGAAGGGATGTAGGGACTTCTATGGAGAGCAGAGCAAAGTCTTGCAAATGGTGGATAACGTGTTCCTCAATATCGATCGACCTCGTAGCGTAATTCAAGCAGAATGGACAGTATTCGATGGTAGGCGATATAGCTTGGTGACTAATATTAGTTATGAAAGAAAGATCGTCTTTCTTGAAATCTCCTGCATGGGTCGTCATCATGTGTTCTTCGAATTCCTCGGCCGTCTCAGATATGAATGGTTCGTGACCTGCTTGTACAGCAAGGCATTGCCATCTCATGCGATGAGAAGTCTTCATATGTGAAAGCCATTCCGCTTTAGTTGGGTAAATTTCAAATGGACTCTTGCAATTAGAGAAAATGCAGATGTACGGCTCTAGGTCCAACGTGACGTGCTTCCTAGGTGCATATCAGACTTGGCACTTCACATTGTTAACCTTCACTTAGGTGTTATTACACACTCACCTCCAGGCTTTTCCTTTTTCTTTAGTAATGTTACTCTTCAAAACCAAATAGCAGTAAGGACAAGTGAAATACTCGCTATTAATAGCAATATTCGGGGGGGGAGGTATGCTGAGTGGGTACCGGCGGTTCGTCGATGCCGATGTTGATCTGGAGATCTCCGATTTTTCGTAAACTCGCTGACGTTTAAATGCTGACTGGTTTAAAGTTGTAGCTTGATTGTTTTTGGGCGCTGTGGTTTTGGTGTTGTCTGGTATGGCCTTTAGGCTGTCTGTATCTACAAGGCGAGTCGACAGTGAGGGCTGTTGGACTTGCTGTGGTGATGGTTGAAGTGGAAGCTGTTCTAAAGAAGGGAGTTCGACCTGTGGAAAGGACCATTCAATTTGACGGGATCGCCGATACAGAATGCGCTTCAGACGTAAAACCATCGTTTCCGTCAATCTGTCAATCATCCAGCCATCTTTGAGTCCGGGGCTGATTTCCTGGACTTTTGACTTATAGTAATCTCTTACATCGGTCTCTAACAATTGACCCTCTCCATAGTTCTCGATTTTAAAATCCATGGCTCGTTTGTTTTGATTGATGGCGCTGGCTTTTCTAATCGAGTTGGAAAGTCGTTGCAGCCAGTCAAGGCTTCTGTGGATGGACACCAGTAACTCTTCAAGACTCCACTCTTGAGCATTGGTGGGGTCAGAACGTTTCATATGACCATCATATTCATCTCCAGATACTGCCGTGTCATCTTTGTGTACCCCAGAGAATTTCTCGCTCACTGGCACGGCTATTGTTAGCTTGGGACTGACCAGCTGTAGATTTCGGGGGGACATACGTTGAACAAGCCTGCATTCAATGGTGTCTAGTTGGCAAATAAACAGTTCCTTAACTTCCTCGGCTTCTCGCACTCTAAAGTCTAAGGATAACTGGTCATTTGCAAAGACGCCAATGTTGGATGCCCAAAGCCGAAATCGCGAAAATTTGTCATTGACGGTATTTACGGCGCGGCTTTCCTGGTCCCCAGTCGTACGAGATATCTCTGTGAAAAGCTCGAAACATCGCTGCGAGCGGTCGCGTATTTCGGCGCTCTCACGTACTGGAGCCATGATAAGTTCACTGTTGATTGAGAATGGCTGTGTTGAAATGTTAAAAAGGAGGGGGCTCGATGCCAGTTAAAAGTATCTGCTAACTGGGCTTGCCTGTCTCAGGTTTTTCCGTCCCAGTTCAGTGCAACCCACAGCCTTATCAGCATGGTGATGAGGCTTCGTGATAGGCCTACATGCTCACTCTTGGCGTTTGCCTGAACACGTGGACAAGCCAAGACATGCATGCTTAACAACCCCGCATGTCGCTGGAAATGTACTGCGTAGTGTTGGTCGTCTACATGTGTGAGGCTGAACAATTGCATTGCATGGCCAGGTGCACCAAGCTGGACCCCGCTCCGGGCTATGCAAGTCACTCCTCTGTGCCGTCTATCACACCAGCCGTTTCCTTTGTCAGCTTCTTCACATGAGTGGGAAATAATCATCAGGCAGGTCAACCCTACAGCGAAAGATTCTTGAGATTCACAAGCTTAAGGCTTTAAAACTCCTCAGGGCTTATCTCTCCATCGGCCAACATGGGTAGTGCATCGAGTAAGCAAGCAGAAAATGAGTCCAATTCAAAGGAGTTGGAGTGGATCAAATCTGCCCTTATCGCCCTGTCTCGAACTAGCAAGCAGCTGTTGGCCAAGTGCAACCGGCGGGACAAAAAGACAGACTACTTGCGCAATATCGAGACCTCATCTTGGATCCTCAAACAACGTTTAAGTCAAATAAGTCGCACCGACATTGAACATTCAATGGAAACAATAAATAAGCTAACCCAATGTCTTGATACCATCTTCAACATTGTTCAAAAGGCAGACCAAACAGATGAAGCCGCGGTGCGTAATATGGCAGCAACAATCAAGTTACAAGCTCATGTCCAGGCAGGTGCACCAAGACCGACGACGAAACCAAATTCAGGATATGATCAAGGAACGGACACCTTGGGACCACAGCCTTGTCGAGAGACTTAGCTTTTCGTTATCGAACGCAGTGAGCTGTTGGTACAACCTTCAGCTGACCATGGAGCGGCTGACAGACGAGTTTGAACGTGATAATCACATGACAGATGAAATTGAGAACCTCAAGATCTCGAAAGACTTACAGGCACCGGACGAAGACTCATGTCAGTTTCTGGACAAAGTCTTCAGTGCAGCGCAATGCACCTGCCATGGTAGTGCCGAGAGAGACCTTAGACTGAGGCTCGGTACTTACCGACGGCGTGGCAAAAAGCCCAACCTGACATCCCTCTGCATCTTGCTAGGGCGGGATATCGAGACCGGTCCATTGATGAGATGGCATGAGTTAGATATCAGCACCGGATCAAGAGTCGAGTAAGCCGCCACCGGTCACTAGCCTGATTTAAAGTCAAAAGATTAAACAGCTGACTAACTCTGGAAACTGAACGAAGAACGCAATCGTTAGAAAAACATTGCATTTGCCATTTCTTAAAGAATCACGACACACATGATTATCGGCTGGACCTGATCTTGATCCAAGACATGCTGACCCTTTCTCATTCGCGTCCGACAGAGAACATATTGCAGCGAAAGAGCCTTCAGGGCCAGATTGACCTAAGGTCACTACTTTTGATCGAGGAAAAAGATTGGAACATTAACATCAAATGGGCCCTTGCTATCCTGCTTTCATACGCGTTACTTTATCTCCACGGTGGGCCTCGGGTAGAAACTGTTTGGAGGCGAGAAAATATCGTTTTCTTCCACGATGGATCTGAAGTTCCACTTCGGCCTTTTCTTAGCAGCACGTTGGTGGACACCAGGAAGCAGCCCGGCGTGCCGTACCCACACCCTCACATTATCATGCTTGGAGCGATACTTCTCGAGATCTTTCTTGGAGAGAGCCTAGAGTGTTTTTTGAAAAGAAAGAAAATTTACGCAGGAGAAAATATCTATTATCTAGCCTGGAAAGTCTTTGAACAGCCGGAGTTCTTTTGTTTTCCACCTCTTTTCCGTCAGGTGATACGCGCCTGTCTGAACCCGGCCACTTTCAGTCATTTGGGTAACAACAACCAAGCAATCCGTTTGGAGTTCTTCCGTCGCGTTATTTGCCCTCTCGAGAATGCCGCTGTCGAGCATTTTGGAACATTTGGTTCTGGAAATTTGGACGAGACTATAGCGGAAAGATTCAACCTTGCCCTTGGGGTAGCCCAGGCACGTTTGCATTCTTCATCGATGAAGCCATCTCTCAAAGGTTCTTCCAACGACGAGAGATCTTACCCGGTGTATCCTGCTGCCCACAAACAAGAAAATCTTTCGATGCCTTGTGAGGCACCGGTGCCGGAAGACACAGGGTAAGAATTTACTTGGTGCAGCTTGATGTTTGTGGTCATTTTTTCATACTAAAGAGAGACTTAGAGTCCACCACCATAGATATCTTGTTGGCAAGACCTACGAAAATTACACAGTCGCTGTGGTTTGCGCCATTGAGTTCGAAATGAGCGCCGTCCGGTATATGCTAGATCGGGAACATGACAGGCTGCCGACAAAGGAAGGTGATTCGAACATTTACGTCCTTGGCGAGCTTCATGGCCATGACTTAGTGCTTGCGTGTCTCCCCGGGAGTCAAGGAAAAGGCGCTGCAGCGACCGTCGCCACAAACATGGCCCGCACCTTCCCATCCATCAGCTGGTGGTTTTTCGTCGGCATTGGCGGAGGGGTTCCTAGCAAAAAGCACGACATCCGCCTGGGTGACGTGGTAGTAAGCATGCCCGAGGGGCAGTATGGCGGCGTCGTCCAGTACGACTTAGGGAAGGAGACGGATGGAGGTTTCGTCCGCAAGGGCTTCCTCTCGCCGCCACCGCCCCTGTTGAGGAGCGCCGTAGTGAGAATGAGGTCAGATCACCGTCGGAGCGAAAACAAAGCCGACAAGTTCCTATCGGCCATGTTGCAAAAGGGACGTCGCCTATCCGTCTATCAGCGGCCATCTTGGAGCCTTGATATCCTATTCGACCCAGGCTATTCTCACGACCCTTTAAATACTATATGTGAATCATGTGATCAACAACAACGCGTTCATAGAACGCCTCGTGAGCTTGAGGGACCCGAAATACACTACGGACTTATTGCTTCTGGTGATCGGGTAGTAGAGAGTACCCTAAAGAGGGACGAGATTATTCGCGACGTCGGCGACATACTCTGCTTCGAGATGGAGGCGGCAGGGCTGATGTCAGAGTTTCCCTGCATCGTCATTCGTGGCATCTCTGACTATGCTGACTCTCACAAGAATGAAGACTGGAAGCACTATGCGGCCGCAACTGCAGCTGCTTGCACCAAGGAGCTTCTCACCTACATAGATCCGAAGGTGCCCCCCGGCATGTCGGCATCTTCTGCGGACACTTCGTCGAATCACGGCAGCGGGTCCTCCAGCCATTTTTCCACGGCAAGAGGATCTCAGACTCGGGGTCATTTTCCCTTGTAAACGATTTGAGTATTGGTTGACATAACGTCATGAACGAGGCAGACAAAACAGAAAGGGTCAGCTCGCATTCAAAAAAATCTCAATTTCACGCTGAACGTACATGTGCAGTGGGCTTAGCGGCAAACAACCATTTTGGCGAAGCATCCCAGCTTCCAGGACGCTAACAGCAGTCTCTCAAATTAGGGACCGTCCTCGAGTAGATGCAATTGTTTAGTTTTTGTTAAGAGACAGGCAAACTCTTCTTCTTGTAGAGTTATTTTGTTTTATTCACTAATTAGTTATAAGCTCATTCCCGAAGAGAAGAATAAACTGCTACTTACTTATTAAAATCATTATAGCTGAGCCAGTGGCCGCTCACAAGCAATTAAACACGCAACACACGCGTATCACCACATCAAGAGGTAAAACTGCCCGGAGGTGGTGAATTACCATTGTGCAACCACAGGCCCAGGGACAAATAAATGGTATAAATCGATAGCTATAAGCATTCGCAGACCTGAAAAAAAAAAAAGCAACGAAGGAAAAACCTTGAGAATTGGCTTCACAATTGTTGAATTTCTAGAAACAAGCATGTTGCTAATGATGATGAAGATGATGATACTGTGTGTACAATGTTGCTTCTCGCTCGCCACCCCGTGCCTCCACATTAGTGGGCCTTATACGCCCTCAAGCCCTTCCTTCGGCAAGTCTCCTAAGTCCTGTTTCAATATCTTACTATTCTCATTTATGTTTGTAAGGTGACAATTTACGCTAAACTTCGTCAAGCAGGGGGCGAGCACAACTATCGACCATTGTCCAAAGCCTGTCACATAGTGACGCAGAGAATATGAGCGACATTCGCTCAGGCCTTTCTTGGCTTTGCCTATTTACCGAAGCAATCGTATTCGGCAGGAATAAAAAGGGGTTTACCATTTTAGTCGTTGAGTCAGCAGGCCTTCGAAACTTTTTTGGCAAGCTCTTGCTTAATACGAATAGTAACCCCAGCACAGTGGAGTCCTAAAGGTCCGACCGATGCGACGACAAGTGGATTGTCTCCTCTTGAGATACAACCTGCCTACCCAAGTTGTGAATAACTTTGGGTCGAGGACAATGTACGGCAGTCCGCAGGGCGCACTGGGTCAAAATTCAAACATTGCCTAATTAGGATGCATAAACGAGATAAGCATATACTACCTATATAGATAGTTAAGCTTCTTATCTTTACTATGTAATTATTACAAATTTAAGCGAATTCTATATTTCGTATATATATATATATAGAGTTTTACGAGACCGTATAGGAGTATATTCTTAATTCTTAATAATAATATTTACTATATTTTATACGAATATGTTTTTAAGGTGCCTTAAGCAGGCTAACCTAGACTACTTCTTAGTAAAACTACTATAGAAGTAGAAGACGTATGTATTTTGTTTAATCGATTTATCCTAAGTATAAGAACTAGACAAAATCGACCTTATAAATACTAACGACTTCGAAACTCTAACAGCTACGATTTCATTACGTATACGACTTTCTAATACTATAACTAACCCGATCGAATAAGTATTTTATATACTAGATATATAGCTAGATAATAGTCTCCTTACTACTCTTATTAAAGGCTTAGAAGAGCGTATAGCTAGTATCTAGCAAACTTAGAAGAAACTAATTCCGAACCTAACTATAGATATTATTATTTACTTATAGCTTATATCTTTCTATATTATAGATATAAATAGAATCTCTGTTTAATATATACTTAGGTTTAGTCTATTAAAAAGTTTATTAGGAAGTTATAGTTCTTATTAACTTCTAAGTTTACTTTATATATAGATATAATAAGTAAGGTCTTAGTAAAGTTTACGTCTAAGAAGTAATTCCTTAACTAAAACTAGAAGGTAATGCTTATTACTTTAAAGAATCCTACGGATATATATAAGTTTCGTAAGGTAGCGTATAAGGCTAAAAACCTTTTTACCTTTCTTTATAAAGCCTTAATTATCCTTAATAAAGACGTTTATATTATTATACTTATTTCTAAAAGTTAAGTAAATCTATTTATTACTAAACTATAAGTATTAAAGAAGTTATAACTAAAATAATATACGCTTAACATAGTAATAACTAGTATAATACTTTTACTTACTATTAATATATTTATAAAAGCATTTACGCTTAAACTTCTAACTCGAATTTAAACTTAAACTAAACTATTACGGCTAGCTAGTAATAGTAAGGTTTCTACTAATAGAAGTTAAGGCTACGATATTAACAATAGGTCTTGCGTCGTATATAGGTATATCGTACTAGTAGATCGAGGGTTAGGGTAAGGTAATTAGTCTTATACTAAGTAACGAGGTATAGTAATATTATAAACTATAAGCTAAGCTAAAAGTTATTAAGGATAAATTATAAGTTAATTACTAAAGAACTATCTAAAAGGTCTTAAGTAGAGCTTAAGTCCTATCTATATATAAGTTCTTAATAATCGCGTAATAGATCTTAATAAGCGCTTGTTGCATACGATAAGTACTTATTACTAAGGGTAAGCGCTTACTTCCTTAGCTAGGCGCTTATTATATTATCTTATCTCTACGTAACCTATATAATAGTTCTTCTATTCTAAGGTTCCTTTATTACCTTATCCCGTATCTTATATATAAATGCCTTATTCTAGCTGCTAACCTAGGTAAGTCTGTTAACCCTCTATTAGGTATAATAAATAGGTCGTAACATTAGGTTTCCCTTAGAAGGTCTAGCCTCTAGACCTAATATAAGTAGGTCGTTTTACTAGATCTATTAGTTTCTATATTTCTCTCCCTTTTTTACTAACAAGATGTTAGAAGAAACTCCTATATATAGCGCTACTTATTTACGCCGTCTTCGCTATATATTTAGAATTATCCGTAAAGGTCGTAACGCTACTATGCTTTATTCCCGTTATTAGTTAAATAGCCTTCGTTATCGCTTGCTAGCAAGCTTGTCTATTTATAGTAAGTATATTCGTACGGGTAAGACGAAGCGTAATTATAATGCTAAAGAGGATACGATTTATAGTTATAAGTTCGTAACTATTTCTTATTCTCGTTAGTATTACTAAAATTTTCTTTAATTAAAAGATTATTAGATAAATTAAGTTGCTTAGATTGCAAAGAGTAGATATCCGAAGCGTTATTTATAAAAAGAATAAAGGCGTTATAAAAGGCGTAAGCTAACGTAAATAAAGCTTTTATAAAGGTAAAGCGTATTCGAAAGTAAAAGTAAATATTATTTTTAAAAAGGTAGGATTAGTCGGAAGTCGAGGAGGTAGGTTTCTCTAAGACGGTTATTATAAATAACCTTTATGCCTTAAAGGTATCTAATATTATTAACTAGTCTAGCGTTAGACTTCCTAATATTTTAGCGTCTTTAAGTTTTAGTACGGCTAGTAGTTAGGTTTTTATAGTTTTTAACCTTTTATTCTTTTAACTATCTTAACTACTAAACGTCTCCTTTATCGTCCCGGTACCTCGTATCCTTTTAGTACTTTCGTTCTTCCTTAGGCTATATATTTTTCCTCTTCCTAATATTTATATAGTTTTTCTAAAGCATTCTTTAAGTATTTTACTAGTTCTTATAAATTATCTTTATATCTATAGCTTTTCTATTTAATAAAGTATTTTAGTTAATAGTCTTTTATTATATAATAGTTTAAAACTTTCTCGACTTCGTACTTAGTATTGTTAATATCTACTTCGATATAGTCGCTTATATATAAACCTTTTAATACTAGTTTAAGAAGTAAGATATAGAAGACTAGGTAATATTTTATAGTTTTTAATAGTTTTAACTTATAGTTAACTTTAGAAATTCTCTTAGTAATTTCGAAAGGTCTTAGTTTTTTAAAGTCGAGTTTATTACTAGGTTATTTCGTTTTGATATTACGTCTAAGGAGGTAGGCGTTATCTCCCTCCTTAAAGGATAGTCTCTTTATCTTTAAACGGTCTATATATTTTTTTATTCGTTATCGTATGAATTCTAAGTCTTTTAGTAGGTTTTCTTAGATTTTCTTAAGTTTCTTAATATCTATAATAGCTTTTATCGCTACTAACCTTATCAAGGTTCTCTATATATAGTAAGGTTAAATCTATAGTTAAGAAAAAAAAGTAATTCCTAAGTACTTTCTCCTACCGCGCTATTATATACGAATTATGCTATAGGTAGTAACTTAACCTAATTATCTTGTTTATAGTTAATATAGTATCTAAGATATATTTTTAAAATCTAATTAATTCTTTCTATTTATCTATCGGTTTGCAGATAGAAAGTAATACTAAGTTTATGCTTTACTCCTAGTTGTAAGATTAAGGATCTCTAAAACTTAGATATAAAGACAGATCTTCTATTAGATACGATTTCTTATAATAGTCTGTATTAGCTAACGATAATTCTAAGGAAGGTATATACTAAATCTTTAGCTATGCTTAATTCTAAATAAGGTACGAAATAGGCGTATTTAGTAAGTCGATTTACTATAACTAGTATGTTATTGTATTTTACCTTAGTAAGCGGTTTTTTTAATAATAGTAGCTTAACTATAAAGTCTAGTAAAATCAAGTACTATAGTATAGGAGGTATTAGTAGTAGCTATAATTCTCTATATAGTTTATATCTACTAGGCTTGCTTTTAGTATAGACTTTATAATCCTTAATTACTTCGGCTATATCCTTATAAGTAACTTATTTATTATAATATTATCTAATTCTCTTCTAGGTTTTAATAATACCTTAGTAGCTATATACGGTATAGTATAGATTTCTATAATCTAGTCGTAAGTTATTCTTCTAGTCGTACTAGTCCTAACTTTTTTGCTAATTATTAAGAGTTTCTATGCTAGCATAAGTCCTCCGTCGTATTTTTTAAGGATAACCTAAGTTTCTTCTAAGACCGGGATTATAAGGTCCGGTTGTTAGTGTTACGACCCGTTGGACATGGTCGCCAACACGACCCCGCCTGGATCCCGGCGGCTAACGCAGG